ATGTGGAGCTTAGTGAACTTGCCGATGACTGTTACCAGCGGTGTCAAGATCGGCCTCTGCAGAGGCAGTCGCCCTCCAACAACAACGGAGGGCGGAGGAGCGACGCTCACAACAACCAGTGGAGCACCGTGTGGCTACAGCACAGCAAGTTGGCACAGTAGGGGGCACAGGTGGTGCATCAGCCAGTAGTCTCAGTCAGTCGACCTGTCGCATCTGAGTCTGCCCCGTCACCTCCTGCCAGCAGACGTTCGACACTTCACGTGGCCTCAAGGTGCACATAGCCTGCCACAAGCGTCGTGGTGACGTCACTGCCACTTAGTGCCGAATGGCGGTTGTTGTTGTATGGTATTGATATTGTTTACACTTTTCATTATTTTTCTATCTACGTTACTTTACCGAAAGACACAATGAATGTACATTAATGTTTGCGTGCAGAAAACAAATTGTTCTATTCCTTGTTTCTTTTGCTCAACTAATTTACACAGAAACCAGGTAATTTTAATAATCACCTTGCAATATATTCACATATTTTCGTTTGTGTGCTCACAACTAATAATTTAATAATACCCTGCTCTGCGTTGATATATTTGTTAGTGTCAAATCACGTTGATAGAAACCTATTTTTTTAATAATCACCTGGCAAATATTACAATCATTATGTTTGTGTGGGGACATAATATTTATGTTCTTTGCTTCTTCCGCTAAACTCATGTACATTGAAAGTGTGTGTAAGTCGATGTGTGTGTCTGTCTTTTTCGCCCGGGCAATGCCGGGTACTTACCGCTAGTCTTATATAAAAACAATTTTTCGTGTTTTACCAAAACCAGCAAACTAGTTATTGCTTTAATAAACACCTCTTTATTGCTAAAAAGTTTGTAAATGGAATATTTTTCACAGTGCAGTAAAACTCCGGCTGGCCGCACTAAAGGTGGAGTGCCCTCGTCCAGCAAGGTCAGCATTCCGGCTGGCCGAGATTTTAATAAACTCTACATGAAAAAAAACACACAAATGTGTAAGTGAATTACATACATACACACATATATACCCATGCATGTGCGTGCATCCACCCACTCGCACCTGCCCGCTCCGCAACTGCCCGCTCGCACCCACCCGCTCGCACCCACCCGCTCGCACAAACCCGGTCGCACACACTCGGTCGCATCCACCCGGTCAAGAAATTTGAATTTCCACGCTTGTAGGACAGACCAGGGGGTACAAATGCACATCGATAAATTGCCTCAGACAGTTTATCTTTTTAATTGCAGGTACTTTATTTACAAAATAATGTTAAACAGTATTCTCATACACTAAATAACCACACCCAATATTCTGCGAGATAAAAAATAAAGTAATATAAAATAAATCACGTAGTTTCGATCGCAACACAGCTCAGACCCCGCTTGCTTGCCCATCGCCACATACATAACATCTTGTTGTAACAGCTCTCTCGCTGGTTCAGCAGTTTCAGTGCTGGATTATATTTTTTCCGCCTGAGGATGACCGCTTGTGTTGCGATCCAAACGTCGTGATTTATTTTATTTTATACCTACGTGAATTTACTGAAATAACCAAAGAGTATGGATTCCTGCAGTCACAAAAGCTTAAAATCAAGATTGAAAAAAGAAAGTATTAAATAACTTTATTTCAATTCAATGCTAAAAAACCCCCTCTATTTTACCTTTTACATTGATGGAAATTCCAATGCAAATGCTGAAATTTGATTTATAAGCTCTTAACAGCACCTGAATGACACCGGCTAGAAAGACATGGACATTTACAACCATTCCAAGAACTGCATAGTGCCTGTATTATACTCATGGCTCGTGGGCTGGAAAACCACTGTGAATACACCGGGCATTCACATTACTCAAGTATTGTCTGAAGGTTAGGTGCTCAATGTATGATTGCATAATAGCTTCAATGGCAAAGGAAGGCAATACCTTCCATAGATATGGTCTATGGTGGTTGAAGGCCGCCCATGGTGGCTGAACACACCGGGTAAATAGCTCCTCTTCCGATTCCCACTCATGGCCACGGTACGTTAAACGCTGGAGATCATACACAGTTTCATCATTGACTTGGACTGTTTGTTATTTCAGCTGCCTTAACTACAGAACAATTAGACATCACCATGGCACTGCGCAGCTTGACCTAAGAGACGTTTGCAGAACGCTTTGTCGATGCACTGCTAGATGAAGGTCTACCCAAGCCTTTCGGTCATGGGGGTTGTTTGATCACATGGACGTTAATATCCACTGGGGAGGCATGAATTTTTAATAGATGCCACCGGTTTATTAATTGCAACGTCTATTTTCCGATCACAAACAATACCTAACACCGCGTGCACGTGGACATTAAAGTGCACGATCTTCACGACAGTTAGTCCAACAATTAATCCCAGGAGGGGAAGATTATTCCACCACTCTAAACACTAATACAGTTCACAAGACACTTAAATACAGTGATCTGAATATGTATATTTTTGCTGTATGTCAAATGTACATAAAAGTCTACACGACTGTACACACATTAATGCGTACATTCTACTTGCACTGAGAATGCATTTTTACCAGGCTTACCAAAACGTCTCTCTGTAAAGAACCAATCGCCCATTTTTGCCAAGTTCGAGCAGTGTCCCTTGTGCGAATGATGTGAACAAATCCCACTTACGCACCCACATAAAACCATAATTCTCTAATAACAAACACATTTGCAACATTACAATGTCACGTTTACATGTAAAAATATTAATGTTAAAGCGCAGAGATCCTCCTGTTTTGGCACCTTTTTCCTGTCATCTCTTTAATTCCCAAAAAAACTCAACACACATTCGTCATTAACACTGGCCTTGAAAGGAAGAATACATACCTGTCAACCCCTTATAAGTGCCTACCTTATTACAGACCAATTCAGACCTTATTGGTCACCCGGTGCCTTTATAAATCTCAACGTTCATCCTACAACGTCCCACCACAAGGGAAAAACACAAACAGACAAGAAAAATGCCCGTATTGAAACGGCTATACGCCATATGGACCTGAAAACTCAATTTCCCTGTACAAGAATACGGGTAAACTGTATGGATTGACAGGTATGAGAATATACAATATTTAGCCCTTCATCATAGCACAGGCACCACTTTCCAAACGAAGCCTGTGATCTATTTGTTTTTCCTTCTCCAACTACATTGTTATTAACGAATGTGTTGAGTTTTTCCATGTTGCTTGTGAACCACTGCCAACACAGCAGAAACAGCAGCAGCAGCAGCGTCGCCAAATAATTTCTCAAAATTACCAGACACTTTTTCCGCCTTTCCGAACAGGTCAACAGAGAAGTCTGTACTGGGCAGACGTTCAAACGTTCACCCCTTTAGGCAGCGATGTAGGGACGAATGCTGCCAAGGCTGGGCAAAAGGTAGAGTAGCTAAAAATATTCCAATCAATGAAGAATATTCCACGACAGTCTTTTAAAATCATGATACAATTGTATGCAAATATACAAAAAATGTCAGGTGAAATACTGAGGCTGTATGTTATTGCAATGGTAATCTCTGCGATTGATAACGACTCGAGTCTTTCATCAATCATGCTAAACAAATTTACTAAACTGCTTTGAGTCCGTGAGCCCAGATCAGGTATTTTACTCGTCGGTGCCACCTGAGGTGGCATCGATTAAGTGGTTCCCATTTCTCTCAGTGGCCAATGGCAGTGAATGACGCGATGACCATTTTACATGAATGTAATTATCAAGAAATGCACTTCTCATATTGGCCATATAAACAAATGGATACAATATGAAGTTTTTCTACCTCGTGGAACCGATTATTGTTCCGGCCCATGGGCTACATTTGCACACACAGCCTATTTGCGGAAAGTTTGATGTTAAATTCCAGGAGTAAATATCACTCTCTTGGGAGAGTTGCCTATTAAGTTGGAAACACAACCGCAGAGATTGAGAAGTGTGTGCACATTGTCTCGGCACATCATGATGTTTCCCATTGACCAACAACATTCCTATAATTGTATATAAAAGCCTTCAATCCCATCCAACATGAAAACAGTGTGTAGTCAATTACATTCAAATGGTAAAAAATATCGGCTTTGGAAGAAAATCCACAATTTTTAAGTGCAAAACTTACGATGTGCGGGAGGCGGCAGTGGTATGTTTTAAATCATCAATAACCTACTAAAGGTCATCGGCACTCGCTGGACGTAATCGTGGGCGGCTATAGACTTGGCAAACACGAACCTCATGGAGGACCCGACTGGGAAGTCCCGGCCTTCTCTCTCCCACGACAGCTACAGACATCGACACAGAGCTTGAGCGCAGCGTGGGAGATGCGAATCCACCTTCCACAAACGGGCGATCACAGAATTGCTGTACTGTGACTGCGGTGAAGGCCAAACCGTCAAACACATCACTGACTAATGCGCCATCCACGTGCACCTGGCCATGGTCACTGCAATCCATGCGGTGTCTCACACCTCCTTAGATTTCAAATGTAGCATCTGGGATGACATTGGTATTATTAGAGGCCAGAATTTGCATAGTAACAGTGCAGGAATCCAACTGTGGTTGTTGAAAGTGGACCAGTGGTTAGTGCACCATGCATCAGGTTAATACACATTGTCTCTTGTAGACACTGGCTAGTGTGGAGTAGGTGTAGAAGGCGAGGGCAGTGATATGGCGTATGTTGGGGTGGCGACGTGAACCCAGCTATAGCGCGTTGCTACACGCCGCTGTTTCACAGTGGACGTTAAAGCTCCCCTGGCGTCATTCGAGACGAGTAGGCATGGCGTCAAGGTCCAAATTTGGCCAATTCAAAATAATCGGCCCCCCCCCCCCCCCAAACACTCAAATGGGATATACAGAGAGATCATCGGCACCCACAGGCACCGCAGACTAATTCCCGATTGGCAGGCCAGGTATGCGTAAAGCACTGTCAAATGGCTCCAGCGTAAATGGCGGTCTACTAAAAAAAGGAATTGCGATCCTTGTCATTGTGTTGTGGGTGGTACAAACTGGTTGGTGTGATGCTAGTTAGAGTCGTGAGAACTGTCATCCTGCACGGACATGGACGTTTCCTCCATGATGAGCCGGTTCTGCACATCCACATGGCTCGTGCACTTGAGATATTTTTCCGGGACGCCCTGCAGCTGGAAGTCCCTATACCCCATCTGTGCGGAAACAAATTTCACGAGCGACGTTGTATGAAAGTGTCTGCGAGCTCTTCACTGAAACTCCCATATATTTTATTAAAATGGCTTGCTCTCTTTAGTATTTTCAAACATCTCGCTTTTTATTGGTTGTTCCGCCTTTTCATGCATAGTGCTCTGAGAACGATTTTCTAAGGGTGCTTTATAAATTTAAATTATTATTAGATGGCTTTTCCTGTAGTTATTAGATATTTACTGACACTGTGAGTGTATTATCATTGTATTGTTATCGTAGCGTGTTCTTCATTCTATCTTGCAAATAAAGTCATGATTGTTATCTTCCGCTGTTAATGTATTTCGGTTGTATTTTATTTATACTTGTTGGTATAGTTTATTTAATTCTTTATATTTTTTAAACAGTGCTTTGATATATTTTGATGCGAAAGAGGCGCTTTATAAAATAAAGTTCATAATTTGTTGTAGAAACAAATTTACAGAATAAAATGCCAAATTCGCTGGACATACACAAACCCCACAGTTAACGTGACCAAATGTACCACTTAAACAGGACATGTATCAACTTAAACAACGATATTTACAAAAAAAAAATAATCTGCAAATTCTGAGTGGATATTTTACCCTATAATGCAGCAAACAGCTTTGTGCCAAGTGTTTGGTAGGCGTAAGGTTGGGAGGTGAGCGGCGGTGGGGGAACGCACAGATTTGTAAAATACTAAAAAGCCCGTGAGGTAGTCTGCAGATGTCAGTAGAGCAAGTGGATTCATCTATCGGTACCGACCTTTGTGTGTTATCCCCGCTATTGCAAGGGGTTTCTCTCAGTACTCTGTTTTTTTATAACGTGAACATTTCCCTTTAAAAAGGAATTATCTAAACATCTAAATGCAGTACTATTCCAAAAAAACTCATTGAGGCATCCCGGATGAGTCAATTACATTATTAATAGATTATTGTACACAAAACCTTGATATCACATTGAGCTAAATTGCCAACACACACCTGTGCCCGCTTGCCTGATGAACTTATTTAGTTCGCGTTACAGTGTAGAATAGAAGATGTATTTTAAAACTATTAGATTATGACATAGTCTGAAATAACTGAGGCGACACCTGATGCCTGAAAATGGTGATGACTTGGTTGAGTGGCCAAGTGGCCTATTTCCCCCAAGCTGACTACTCTTTAGTACTATAATGGGCATTCAGACTAATAACAAAGACTGTAAATAGCACAAATAAATTATTCATATTTGACATTTTCGGAAGACCCTCCACCACCTAACACGGCCAAACAAATTCAACCGTCGTATTTAACGTGCCGATTATTCTTTTTTTTAGCTCAATTCTCACTGCCTCTGATTCGAAGGACGTTATTAACCAGGTAAAGTCTTAACTGACTGTGATGTTTCCATCCTACCTGCCTATGTCAGCTGTTATTTTCGACTCTCTATGTGTCTTTCTCTCTCTCTGTGCGTCTCTCTCTGATCTCTACTCCAGTGACCCGGGTGCTGCCGCGGGGTCCACTTCCTGCCCCACCTCCTCCCCCCCCCCGCCTTCTCTCTCCCCCCCTACGAGTCCTGTATAACCCCGTGCCACGACAGATCTCTCGCCTACTTCAGCAGTTTTTTCTTGCTGTGGTTGTCTCACCTGATGACGGTTGCTTGTGTTGCGATCGAAACGTCGTGATCTATTATTTTTCATACCTACGTGACTTTACCGAAAGAACCAAAGAGTATGGATTCCTGCAGTCACGAAAGCTTCAAATCAAGATCGAACGAGATTGCTAATTAGGGATGACTTTCTGCTTGAACCGGCATGAAGCATCTTCAGGTGTTCATATTTTGGACACTTATGTTTTGAGACGTTAGGAAATGTAGGTTTGACCATATCACTGCCTGCATACGCTTTTATTGCTATCTTTCAGACTGGGCGCTGTGGCGTTCGTGGAAATGTGCAGATTACGAGTACAAGCAGCAGTATCAGTTTAAGGGTACAAAGAGTGGCATCAGATTACGGGATCAAGCAGTGGCATCAAATTACGGGTACAAAGAGTGGCATCAGATTACGGGTACAAGCAGTGGCATTAGCAATGACCAGGCCCCCGCCCCCCACCTCCTAATCCCCCCCTCAACCCCCGTGGTGGGGAATATGTAGCAGACGAGTCATCACTCACCCTTGTCATGCTGTTCAGGATCTTCAGTTGATGAGGGTGGAGTTGCATGTCTTTTCTCTCCTTCAGCCACTGGTCTATTGTTCGAACATTGCTGATGTACCAGTCCTGGCGATGGGCAAAACGAAACGTGCTTTCATTACTCTTTCACGCTGAAATAAAGCATTTTAGAAACTGTTTACATTCACGGTCAAGTTTATTTTGTTTACCCAGGTGAGACCTTCAAGAAACCAGGATGAGTGACATAGCATTACGTACGCTTTGTTATCTAGACATGAAATATCAACAATTTTGAGTTAGGATAGTTTATCAAGTAAAGTGATATGTTTACCCATTGTTTTGGTTTTTCAACAAACCGGTTACGTTGAAAAGGAAGCACAATTTTGGACAATTCTTCGACGTTTCACTGGAGATTACACCCGGCATCATCAGGTGTTAACAAGAGCTCAGCTCTCAACATTATACCTCCACGATCCAACCCCAAATAAACGATAAATAAAGCTTATACTGTACTTTGTTAAATTTGGATTTAAAGCTTTCGTGACTGCAGGGATTCATATTCTTGGTTCTTTCGGTAAAGGCAGGTAGAAGGGAAACAATAAAATAATAAAAATATAAACCAATAAAATTCTCACGACATTTCGACTGCAACACAAGCAATCATCATCAGGTGATTTTATTGTTTTATATTTTTATTATTTTATTGTTTCCCTTCTACATGACTTTACTGTATTTTGTTCTTTGTAGCAAGAATGAGTCGCAGATTTGTTGTCACACTTACCGTACATATCTGTTGAATGTAATCGTCTTCTATAAGCTTTTCACGAAAGATCTCCTGGTTCTGACGCACAAACGTGACGTAGGAGTCTGCCAAATCCATTCCCGGTTTCTGAAAATCATAAAAGGGACCGATTTTAAAGTTTAATGTCACACGGCTCGCTGTGAAGCAAGCAATGTAAGGTGTGCTGCACAAAATACTAAAGCATCTGCACCCGTTCGAGCTGGACATCACCGCTGGGATGCGGATGTATGCCGGGAAATGCATTGTACGCCAGTGTGAAATTTATGACGCTGCTCTCGCGTCGCAGTCAACCAAACTTGACGTTTTTTTACGTCAGTATAGTTAGTACGTAAATAATGATGAGTTTAACACACAGTAGGCTTTCGCGACCAATATTATCCATAAGAGCTTTTTGGGTTGGATCGCGTAAATGTATTGTTAAACCCGCCACCACCCGACAGCCAATTAGTAAGGAATTGTCACGTAAACAAAACATGCCACATGTATACGTGACAAACCTTACTAATTGACCGTGTCGTGTTTGTGGTGGGTTTAACGACACATTAATATTCACCCGATCTAACCTAAAAACCTCTATTATAGAAATAATGATAATAACTTCACCTTGTAATGCGCACAATGGTTTCACTCACTCTCGACAAGTGGAGGAACACAGAGGCACGAGGAACCAGCAGACAAGGGGGAAGGCAGTGGCCAGGCAGTGAGCTGGCGGCAGCAACTGCCCAAGCTCTGCCGTCCCATGGAAATCAAGATGTTGTCAGCCTATTAATGATGAGTGTTTACATCAGAATCAGAATCTTTATTTAGACTGTAGGAGGAATCCAATAAGCTATGAAGCTCTTTTTCACAGATGTCCAGTAGGGACATGGGGTCCGAAAGTTACAACAACTGGAGAAAAATACGACAGAAATGCCAAGTATAGGAAAGGTAAGCAAATCACTACAAAAACTTTTTCTTTTAAAAGGTAAGGCCCACTGAGCTATTAGCCGATTTCTCAGAAGCAACCTGGCCACAAATGATTGGTCAACGAGCGATCATTCGTTTCTAAACATCTTGAGCTGCTTACATATTTTCAGCCAATAAACAAGTCTTTTTCACCTAATTAAAATCCATGCGTGCAAGGGTGCAACACTCAATCCCAATCAGACTGAACATGGTGGAGTTCACATTGTTGCTGTACTGCCTTCTCCTGGCGAGTCATGGTACGAGCACCTCCTCGACGCCCACAATAAGGGAGTCTCACATTGTCTCTTCTCAATCCACCAAATCTTCCATCCACAGTGCTAAAAATGTCACTGCTAACTCAATATAAACCCGATGGGATAACGATAAAAGGAATACCATGGTGACGTAGCACACACTGGGAAACCGTCAAGAAAAAACCCTTATTATGCATGACAACACCAAGGCTCAGTAATTTAGCAGCTTTATTACAAATATGTAATGAGCGACTTCCACGACACATCGTGTAGAGAGTACTTCATTTATTCTTACATGGGCACAACACAGGCCAACCTTATCTTCCTCACTCTGATTAGAACATCTTTTTTGGTTCTTTCGGTAAAGTCACGTAGAATGAGAATAAAACAATAAATTGATAAAATAAAATAACACAATATTTTCACGACGTTTCGGCCACAACACAAGCGGCCTTCATCAGGTGAAGGGACGAGACTGTCTGCACTCCAGCGCTGTCCTCCAGCGCTGGTTCACGTGCAGGAGTGAGATGGATGGTGGCTTTAAGGGACCATCAGAGATGGTGATAGCATGCAGAAGGCCTTCATCCAGCAGCGGATAAGCACTGGTGTTGCTCCCTACCGTGAGTGAGAGGAGCGTGCTCAGGAACGTCCCCTCGTCAAATCGGGCCAGCTTCTTCAGAACGCCTTTCAGAACAGCCACAAACTAGGAGCGGAAACAAAGACAAAGATCCCCCATATAGCCTTAACAGACTGTTGGGGCAAGTGCTGTTTAGCGGGCTCCTATGAAGGCAGGCACGGTACACGAGGGGGTGGGGTGGCCAGCACCACACCGGACCGCTTGTCTCCCCATAGGCGATGATTTTACACACCGTACCAGGTACAAATTTTAGGCTGAGTCAACCTAGCAGAGGCCCAGGACTGGTTCAGATAATCGTCACTGGTGTTGGCTGTGAGCGGGAATCAAACTCAGATCGCCGGGTTCACAGCACAGCGCGCTAACTGCTACACTACCGCGGAAACACACACGCTACACACAGACATACGCTACACACACATGCTACATCTACACACAGCCGCTGTGGTGCCGCCATCACCACTGGGTAATGGTCCACGACTCTCACAGCCATGCGTCTGTAAACGACTATCCAAGTGCACCGCGTGACATTAGATTTTTTTTACGTTTCGCAGCTATATGCAAATGAAATGAACAGATCGACAATTTTATACGGTGTCAACGTTCGGTCACATATGCACGCGATAGCTCTCATAAAACTACGCATGCGCAGCCTAGAAAGGAAGCACTCGACCATGCTAATAAACTGCCTACCCAGAGGCTGAAGTGGTTGGTGGAACGCTGGAGGTTACACCAGTGTCTGTACTTGAGCCATGAGGCTGTCACCAGCCGCCCACCGGAGGATTGTATTAAGATTGTAATTAACGGTCCCATCTCACGTAATTTCATTGTAATGATTAAATTAAACACCTTTCAAATTTTTTACCGCTAATTATAAACACATACCTGTAAACCCATACGGTTTATCCATATTCTTGTACAGGGAAATAGAGTTTCAGGTCCATACGGCATACAGCCGTTTTAATACGGGCAACATTTTTTGTCTATGTTTATCCCTTGTGATAGTTCCATTTAGTTCATAGTTCCATTTATTTGGTATAGCCCTGCGAGCCATTCGGCTCTTGAATCGGGTGCAACCGCAACAAACAAAAACATGAACAAGAAAACATCTTAAAGTGACTATGTGACTGTGCAAACAGAAAATCCAGGAAAAAAAAACATCATCATCATGATGAGACTTTGTAGGATGAACGTTGAGATTGATAAGGGCACGGGGTGACCAATAAGGTCTGTAATAATGTAGGCACTGATTAGGGGTTGAAACGTCTACAATAATTATTATTCACACGGGCATGTGGCTCGTCGGTCGAGCAAGTGGAAACTTCCGAGTCCACACCATTCCTTTCAGGTCGGTGTAATAAGTACCAGAGGTCAACAGCTGCGTGAACTGTGTAGTCTCGCCCCTGCCATATCGATGTGGAGATTGTCAAAACTGACTCGGTGCTGTACATGTGTAATGAGTCCACCAGACGAAGAGTGAGACGACAACAGGAAGCGCCAAATCGCACCGCCTCATCCGGTGATGTCACCACTTTCTTGCTGGGCATTCCGTCTATCTCATGCCCCGCCTTCTCTTTCCTTTCCTTCATGAGGTCATCTGAACAGTAACCTGGGATCCAGTGGGTATTTCTACCCCCAAATCCCGTTAGTATTAACACTAGACATATAAGATGAGCACAGCACCACGTGCTCATCTGAGCAGGGAATCGCTTTGGAAGGTCTTATTTGATTGCAGTACCTTATCAATGAGCAGGGCGCTGACTTCCTTCCGCGTTTTCCGAATCTCAATCTCAGCTTTGGAGTGGCCAGGCAGCTCCTGTTTGAAAAATTAGGGGACTCACCCATGGGCTCATCGCTCACAACAGACTGTAAGATACCAATACACTGCATCACGCAGCTTAGCAAAACCCAAATTAAAATATCGTAAACTTCCCAGTTCCAATGCACAATTTTACATTGCATGAATATGAAGGTGAAATGAAAAAAGACCTCTCGCGGCATCATTCTTGTCATGTCACATCCACAAATGCAGAGTCACTCTCACTAGTGTGGAGTGACTCTCGCTAGTATGGAGTCACTCTCACAAGTGTGGAGTCACTCTCACAAGTGTGGAATCACTCTCACAAGTGTGGAGTCAATCTCGCTAGTGTGGTGTCACTCTCACTAGTGTGGAGTCAATCTCGCTAGAGTGGAGTCACTCTCGCTAGTGTGGTGTGACTCTCACTAGTGTGGAGTGACTCTCACTAGTGTGGAGTGACTCTCGCTAGTGTGGAGTGACTCTCGCTAGTGTGGAGTCACTCTCGCTAGTGTGGAGTCACTCTCACTAGTGTGGAGTCACTCTCACAAGTGTGGAGTCACTCTCACTAGTGTGGAGTCACTCTCACAAGTGTGGAGTCACTCTCACTAGTGAGGTGTCACTCTCACTAGTGTGGAGTCAAACTCGCTAAAGTGGAGTCACTCTCACTAGTGTGGAGTCACTCTCACTAGTGTGGAGTGACTCTCACTAGTGTGGAGTCACTCTCACTAGTGTGGAGTGACTCTCACTAGTGTGGAGTCACTCTCACTAGTGTGGAGTGACTCTCACTAGTGTGGAGTCACTCTCACTAGTGTGGAGTGACTCTCGCTAGTGTGGAGTCACTCTCGCTAGTGTGGGGTGACTCTCGCTAGTGTGGAGTGACTCTCGCTAGTGTGGAGTCAATCTCGCTAGTGTGGGGTGACTCTCACTAGGGTGGAGTCACTCTCGATAGTGTGGAGTCACTCTCACTAGTGTGGAGTGACTCTCACTAGTGTGGAGTCACTCTCACTAGTGTGGAGTCACTCTCACTAGTGTGGAGTGACTCTCACTAGTGTGGAGTCACTCTCACTAGTGTGGAGTCACTCTCACTAGTGTGGAGTCACTCTCACTAGTGTGGAGTGACTCTCACTAGTGTGGAGTCACTCTCGCTAGTGTGGAGTCACTCTCACTAGTGTGGAGTGACTCTCACTAGTGTGGAGTGACTCTCACTAGTGTGGAGTCACTCTCACTAGTGTGGAGTCACTCTCACTAGTGAGCAGTCACTCTCACTAGTGTGGAGTGACTCTCGCTAGTGTGGAGTGACTCTCGCTAGTGTGGAGTCACTCTCACTAGTGTGGAGTGACTCTCACTAGTGTGGAGTCACTCTCACTAGTGTGGAGTCACTCTCACTAGTGTGGAGTGACTCTCACTAGTGTGGAGTGACTCTCGCTAGTGTGGAGTCACTCTCACTAGTGTGGAGTGACTCTCACTAGTGTGGAGTCACTCTCACTAGTGTGGAGTGACTCTCGCTAGTGTGGAGTCACTCTCACTAGTGTGGGGTGACTCTCACTAGGGTGGAGTCACTCTCGATAGTGTGGAGTCACTCTCGCTAGGGTGGAGTCACTCTCACTTGTGTGGGGTGACTCTCGCTAGTGTGGAGTCACTCTCACTAGTGTGGGGTGACTCTCGGCAGTGTAGAGTCACTCTCACTAGTGTGGAGTCACTCTCACTAGTGTGGAGTGACTCTCACTAGTGTGGAGTCACTCTCGCTAGTGTGGAGTCACTCTCACTAGTGTGGAGTTACTCTCGCTAGTGTGGAGTGACTCTCGCTAGTGTGGAGTGACTCTCGCTAGTGTGGAGTCACTCTCACTAGTGTGGAGTCACTCTCACTAGTGAGCAGTCACTCTCACTAGTGTGGAGTGACTCTCGCTAGTGTGGAATCACTTTCACTAGTGTGGAGTGACTCTCACTAGTGTGGAGTGACTCTCGCTAGTGTGGAGTGACTCTCGCTAGTGTGGAGTCAGTCTCGCTAGTGTGGAGTGACTCTCACTAGTGTGGAGTCACTCTCGCTAGTGTGGAGTCACTCTCGCTAGTGTGGAGTTACTCTCACTAGTGTGGAGTCACTCTCACTAGTGTGGAGTGACTCTCACTAGTGTGGAGTCACTCTCACTAGTGTGGAGTCACTCTCACTAGTGTGGAGTCACTCTCACTAGTGTGGAGTCAGTCTCACTAGTGTGGAGTGACTCTCACTAGTGTGGAGTCACTCTCACTATTGAGGAGTGACTCTCACTAGTGTGGAGTGACTCTCACTAGTGTGGAGTGACTGTCACTAGGGTGGAGTCACTCTCGCTAGTGTGGAGTCACTCTCGCTAGTGAGGAGTCACTCTCACTAGTGTGGAGTGGAGTGACTCTCACTAGTGTGGAGTGACTCTCACTAGTGTGGAGTGACTCTCCCTAGTGTGGAGTCACTCTCGCTAGTGTGGAGTGACTCTCACTAGTGTGGAGTGACTCTCACTAGGGTGGAGTCACTCTCACTAGTGTGGAATCACTCTCGCTAGTGTAGAGTCACTCTCACTAGTGTGGAGTGGAGTGACTCTCGCTAGTGTGGAGTGACTCTCACTAGTGTGGAGTCATTCTCACTAGTGTGGAGTCACTCTCACTAGTGTCGAGTGACTCTCACTATTGAGGAGTGACTCTCACTAGTGTGGAGTGACTCTCGCTAGTGTGAAGTCACTCTTGCTAGTGTGGAGTCAGTCTCGCTAGTTTGTAGTGACTCCCACTAGTGTGGAGTCACTCTCACTAGTGTGGAGTCACTCTCACTAGTGTGGAGTCACTCTCACTAGTGTGGAGTCACTGTCACTAGTGAGGAGTCACTCTCACTAGTGTGGAGTCACTCTCGCTAGTGTGGAGTCACTCTCACTAGTGTGGAGTCACTGTCACTAGTGTGGAGTGACTCTCACTATTGAGGAGTGACTCTCACTAGTGTGGAGTGACTCTCACTAGTGTGGAGTGACTCTCACTAGTGTGGAGTGACTCTCACTAGTGTGGAGTCACTCTCACTAGTGTGGAGTCATTCTCACTAGTGTGGAGTCACTCTCACTAGTGTGGAGTGACTCTCACTATTGAGGAGTGACTCTCACTAGTGTGGAGTGACTCTCGCTAGTGTGAAGTCACTCTCGCTAGTGTGGAGTCACTGTCACTAGTGTGGAGTCACTCTCACTAGTGTGGAGTGACTCTCACTAGTGTGGAGTCACTGTAACTAGTGTGGAGTCACTGTCGCTAGTGTGGAGTCACTCTCGCTAGTGTGGAGTCACTCTCACTAGTGTGGAGTCACTCTCACTAATGTGGAGTCACTCTCACTAGTATGGAGTCACTCTCACTAGTGTGGAGTCACTGCCACTAGTGAGGAGTCACTCTCACTAGTGTGGAGTCACTCTCGCTAGTGTGGAGTCACTCTCACTAGTGTGGAGTCACTGTCACTAGTGTGGAGTGACTCTCACTATTGAGGAGTGACTCTCACTAGTGTGGAGTGACTCTCACTAGTGTGGAGTGACTCTCACTAGTGTGGAGTCACTCTCACTAGTGTGGAGTCACTCTCACTAGTGTGGAGTCACTCTCACTAGTGTGGAGTCACTCTCACTATTGAGGAGTGACTCTCGCTAGTGTGGAGTGACTCTCGCTAGTGTGAAGTCACTCTCGCTAGTGTGGAGTCACTGTCACTAGTGTGGAGTCACTCTCACTAGTGTGGAGTGACTCTCACTAGTGTGGAGTCACTGTCACTAGTGTGGAGTCACTGTCACTAGTGTGGAGTCACTCTCGCTAGTGTGGAGTCACTCTCACTAGTGTAGGAGTCTCAGACACGACGTTACTCTAGAGGCATCACTCTAAAGGCGGCACTCTCGCGGACGCGGTGTCGCTCCAGGGGCATCACCGTCGCGACACATTGATGCTCTCACGAACGCCGCATCACGTTCCCAAAACCAAAACTTTGTGAACGTCATGGCCCCGCACTCGGGGGAGGGGGTGTGGGGAAGCGGTGACACAGCGCCTGGTGCGTGGCCAAACCTCGACGTGGCAGCACAGCTTGGAGCTCTGCTGCGTCGTGTCGATGAGCACATTGAGCATCGTGCAGAGCACGTCGTTCACCCTGAGGTCCGTGGACGCATTCAGCTTCTTCACGCGCACCTGAAACGCCTTGCTCGTTCTGGTTCGGGGGGGAGAGGCACAAGGACAATGGGGGGGGGGGGGGGGGGGGGGGCTCTGCTTAGAGCGCTCACGCAGCTTCACAATCACTCAAATTCCCCAACTTTCTGCAAGTGATGAGAAAACAATGAAACATAAAATCCATAATAATCCACATCCTCAAGTTGTACAAATTGTACATTTTGCAGCGGGTTTACTCTCCACCACACAGATGTGCTGAAATAGTAACTAACTGGCACGTTTTGTTCACGTGACAAACCTTACTAATTGGCTATCAGGTGAGGGTGGGTTAACGACACATTCACGTAATCTAACCCAAAACACCTTTATTATGGATAATATTGGTTGCGAAAGCCTACGCCTATGTGTCAGACTGATGAGAAAACCCATCACAGCAGGCGAATGCACCGTGCTGGCTGGAAAGAAGAAATACCAACGCGCATACGTGTGCTCGCAAACAGCAGGAAGGCATGACTCCCATGATGCCTTGCATGCCATGTGACCACCACATTGCAAAATGCTCTCAGCCTTGTCCAGACCTCCAACCCCAAGAGAGGTGAACATGCAACCGTATGATTGTTAAGACCACAAACTCAAAGTATTATTCTTTGGTTCTTTCGGTAAAGTCAAGTAGATAGAAAACTAATAACAAAAAATTAAGTGAATAAAAATAATAATAATAAAACACTAATGTAGACTGTAGCCTGGTTCTTAATCAGTGAGTGTACTGGCAATCTATAATGTGGACTGTAGCCTGGTTATTAAGTTTGGCGAGTGTACTGGCAGCCTATAATGTAGACTGTAGCAATGGTTACTAAACTCACTCAACAATGGTTATTAAACTGAGCTCACTCAGTTTAATAACCATTGCTACAGTCTACATTATAGACTGCCAATACGCTCACAGCTTAAAAACCAGGCTACAGTCTACATTATAGACTGCCAGTACACTCACCAAGGTTAAAAACCAGGCTACAGTCTACATTATAGACTGCCAGTATGCTCACCGAGGTTAAGAACCAGGCTACAGTCTACATTAGTGATTTTTTGTGTGTTTTATTTAAATTTTATTATTATTTTTTCCTATCTACGTGACTTTACCGAAAGAACCAAAGAATATGAATTCCTGCAGTCACGAAAGTTTAAGTCAAAACCAACTCAAAGGGTTGAAAATGTGTCTGTCCCATCAGGCAGCAGTGAAACAGGGGACAACTGTACACCGGTCTTGACTTCAGAACCCATTAGTAGAGTATAGTCGTCAATGTCCACTGCTGCCTTGTGCCTCCGGGAGCCCATACATGGGGAGGGCTTTACCTTTACACCATGGGGGCCACCATTCGTACTCACCTAGAGGCAACAGTCACTCTAAACTAACAATTTTTATGTTATTTTTATTTTGCCAGGTAAGGCACACTGAGCTATATAGCTCTTTTCAGAAGCGAGCTGGCAACAAATGATAGTCCAATGAAGTGGCTTATCACGTGGAAATTTATAGCAGCCAAATACATTAAACGCATGTCGATTATAAATGTGGAGGGAAAAACTGGAGGACCCGGAGAAAAATCCACGAGACCATGGGGAGAACATGCAAACTCCAAATATACAGGCGTAAGTGTCGGGATCGAACCCACGACCTCCTGTATACCAGCGAGATGTTTAGCATCTTTCCACCACGGCACCTTCAAATCCACCACTCTGTGTAAACGATAATATTGATTACTGTACTGTGAAGTACGTTTATTTTAACAAGGAGGAAGCAGGAGACAGTGGGATGATTTGCTACGTGCACCAGATGTTTTGATGCGCGTTTAAAGGTATTTGATAATAAAGTTGCTCAGGTGCAAAGCTCACCAATTCACACATCCCATACCACCTCAAGCATGCTATTCACACACTAATGTTGGTTGCTGTTGACCTTCTCGGCGCAAAGAAATGTGATATATTTATTTTTAGAATGCAGATGATGTGGCGTTTGCTGATTTTATAGCATGACCGATGGACTCACCGACTGACACAGCAGCTAATCATTTCGTTAGCCATGAGCTTTAGCCGCTGGTCCATCTGGTAGGAGAACTGCACCTCTGGCCACTTCAGGTCCTGGATGAAGGCCTGCAGAGCGTTCAGCTTCCACAGGAGTTCGTTGGAAGTTGCCGAGCCACCCCTGCAATCACACAAAACAACGTTCAACAATGTAAAATTCCGTGGCAGTACAAGTCCATCTAACAAGATTTTGGTAACTTACTTTAGTACAATCTTGATTTGAAACTTTCGTGACTGCAGGAATCCATACTCTTTGGTTCTTTCGGTAAAGTCACATAGGTATTGAGACAGATGCCATCCAGACATCCACCCTACGTCCTTCCTCGTGGAAGAGATATACGTGGATGACACGTTCGTCATCTGGCCACATGGCCTGCCAGCACTGAACCAATTTCTCAACCACATCAATTCCATACACCCGTCTATCAAATTCACCATGGTAGTGGAAAAGGATGGCAAGCTACCATTCCTGGATGTTTTGATCGAGAAGAGACCTGATGGCTCGGTAGGACATCCGGTCTACAGGAAAGCCACCCACACGGATGCCTATCTAAAGCCTGACTCCCACCACCATCCAGCCCAGAAGAATTCCCTCATCAAAACACTACACCATAGAGCCCATTGCATCTCTGACCAGCACCACCTAGCCAGTGAGCTGGAGCACGTACACCAAGCCCTCAGGATGAACAGATACTCAGACCGTACAATCCGAAAAGCTGTCTCCCCAACCATGCAGAGACAACCTTCTTAAGATCCAACCAAAACCATCACTTTACCGTACATAGCAGGGGTTACCAAAAATATTTCCAAAATCTTAAACAAACACAAGATCCAGGTTCGATTCAACACAGTACACAAAATCCGTGATTTGATCCCATCTGTAAAGAATGTGATTCCTGACATGCAATACCCTGGTGTCTACAAACTGAGTTGTGGTTGCGGCAGCAGTTACATTTGGGAAACGAAACGACATGTCTCGGACCGCGTTCATGAACACAAGGCAGATCTGAAACACAGTAGGACCAATACCTGTGCCGTTACTGATCATTGTTTTAACACTGGGCTCACATGAAATAAATTTTTCCAAGACAGAGGTACTCTGCAAACCTACCGGCTACCTTCAGAGATTTGTTCATGAAGCCATCCAGATATATAAACACAGACACAATTTCAACCGAGAGGATGGGTACAAACTGAGCAATCATTGGAAGGACGTTATTAACCTGGTAAAGTCTTAACTGACTGGGATGTTTCCATCCTACCCTGCCTATGTCAGCTGTTATTTCGACTCTCTGTGTCTCTCTCTCTATGCCCCTCTCTTAGATCTCTCATGTTCACATGTATTTTGCATTGCACTCTCATGCCTTTGGATTGCACTATCATGCTCACATGTCCTTTGGATTGCACTCTCATACTCACAGGCCCTTTGGATTGCACCCGTTGGGTTGCACTCATACCTTTGGATTGCACCACTTTTCGATTTTACATTAACATACTAATCTCTCACATTAACATAGCCACTTCCGTGCCTTCGTCTAGGAGGCCGCTTTGGATTGCACCACTCTTCGATTTCATAATTACCCTGCTAATCGCTCACATTAATATATCCACTTCCGTGCCCTCGTCTAGGAGGCCGCTCTCCTATCTTACAGTTACATGCTAATTTCTCACATTAACATCACTAGCCTCGGCCACTTTTTTATGACCCTTGGGCTACACCCATTTCAAACCTTTTAAAACAGTCTGCCTCAGCAGCAGACCATGCTTTCCCACTTGATGACGGACGCTTGTGTTGCACCCGAAACGTCGTGATTTATTTTATTTTATACCTACGTGACTTTACCGAAAGAACCAAAGAGTATGGTTTACTTTAGTGCAGTATACGGAGATTTTATAAAAGTAATAACAACAACAGGTATGCTTGAATAAAAAAATATATATATATAGCCTCTTCCCACCAAAGCAGGATAAATGGGTACACCACAATTAATCAGTAAGTTGTGTGAGGTGAGGTAAAGCGTAGGTACTCCCACCTCTCCCAAGACATCAGGCCACCATTTAAGAGTAGGCCAAATACCCTCTAGCATAGCTCTATAGAACTCTCTCTAGTGGAGGCCCTTCTGCCAGCAATTGCACCAGTAATAAATGGCAACCCTGCACTTTTATCTCCGGTCTTGAGAACCCTACACACATTACTGTTGGCCCACTATCAAGCCTCATCTGCAGAAGCACAAATATCCCAATGATCGCTATCCCTCGGTCAGGAACGTCATGCCCATCATCCCGAGGCAGTGTCCCGAAAGACTGGGTGTTGTGTATTCTGACTAGAAGGACCACGGTCCTGGAACTCAAGGGCTTTCTGTTCCCTCAAGCTTTTGATAAAATTATGTGTCTAAAAAAGTAAAAAAATTATTACATTACTTATGGATGCCACCTTGAGTCCACAACACAAGAGACACCACAACAATGCTTTAGCAAATGCTGTAATGGTGTCATGATATGTTTAGTCAGCAACACACATATTAAAGGCAGACAATACATCTCCTTCACATATCTGCCACTACATATAAAAAGGATATTTTACACATCCCATCAACCACACGGCTTTCCGGGAGTGCATAATTTCAGCTGTATAGGTTCAATGCAATAAAATTTTGGACCGGTTTTGATAATTCACTACCTAATCAGCAGTGAGGCTTGGGACCACTCAGCCAAACAGAACTTGATGAGCACTGCAGCATGGCACACCAGCTTGGTTGCCCTTTGTGTCTGAGCTGCCGAGGTTGTGAGGAATGTGTTTTGGATACTTGTATAACCTGTGCAAACTGCTCTGCGCACAGATGTATATAGATTAGTGTTTCATGATTCTGCAAGCCTATCACAAGCCTATTTCCTGCACGTCCGATTAGCATGGTTGGCTACGTACGGTGCGAAAGAAATTGAACATGCATTCACGGTGCATAGCATGAGTGGCTCGTCTAATGTACTGAGTATGTGCAAAGACAAAACAAAGACTATGGGGAAGAAAAATAGACAATGAGAGAGAGGGGTAATTCATAAACTTAAAAGAACATTGATTTATGGGTCAAATTGTATAAGTAATTGACCTCATTAATTAGCTGTCGGGTGAAGGAGGGTTTACGACACATTTTACTTACGGCGATCCGACCCAGAAATGAACTTGTGAATCATAACATTGGACGAGTGGTGCGAGGTTGAGACACACAGAGCACCACGAGAGGTTTTCAAAATAGCGGCAACACAGAGACACGGAGGGCGGGGGGGGGGCACTGGAAGGGAGAAGGGAGGCTCCCTCACTGGACGAGCGCCCACGTCTCCTGGGCGAAGCCGCTGTGCACGGACTGCGCGATGGAGGCCTCCATGAGGTCCACGTAGCGCACCACCATGGGGGTGAACTTGGCCTGCACCTCCTCGTGGAACTTGCCGTTGTTGAGCGACGCTGCGGCACAACGCATCGGTGTTCACGAGTCAGCGAGTTCCCCCATCAGCGCCGAGGGGGCCGAACCTCAATAACACTGCTAGAGGTGTGGATAGAAAACGTTTAGCGACATGTCTCTGAACGTCAAAAGAGCAAGGAGCATCCTAATAAGGCTAGTTGTAATTACCGGTGAAACATTGTTCTCGAATTGTAAATGCTGTGGGTTTATTCTCCAACACACACCGGTGTTGGAAAGTAACTAATTGGCGCGTTCTGTTTACGCGACAAACCTTACTAATTGGCTGTGTCGGGTAGTGACGGGTTTAACGACACATTTATATTTCTGCAATCTAATCCAAAAAACCCTCTATTATGTATAATATTGGTCGCAAAAGTCTCCTCCTTCTACTACTACTCCGTGTTAAACAGAGCAAGGAGCAGCAGAGTGCAGGTTTCACAGAAACGTCAACAACGGCTGCGAGGCGCGTCAAGCGATTTACGTGAATGTTGTCTCTCTTTATCTCACTACGCGCCACGTCCTTTCTGAACAACATCGGCGAACGTGGCCTTCTTACATTTTGCTCCCTCCAAGATTTTACAGCAAGAACTTTGCATTAGACACCCCCAGTTGCATCCAATTGCTCAAATTGCTTATGTAACCTAATTCGAGGTCTTCCCCGGCTTGTGGTACCGATAATGATCCAAAAAACAATTATATTCAGTCTCTTGTTTTCTTATTAGATGTCCAAGAAATGTAACTTGCCTTTCTCTAATTATTCTTATGAATGTTCTTGTTGTACCTGCTACCCATTATGTATGTACATACGTTGAACTTCTTATGCACCATGCTAATGTTGTAATGATGATCAAACACGGCAAAGTGAAACACATGGCTGGCTAATCAAATAGTCAATGTGTAGCTGCTGTGAGTGAAGAAGCGATGAGGTACAGTGCATGACGACATGGCCACTCAACACAGCGGCTCTGGCCGTGGAGACGCCCTCCTGGGCTGTGTGTGCCGAGCTGCCAGACGTGAGTTTCACTGTCATAAATTAGATAAAAGACTTTCGAGTCTCTTTTAGAAGGAGTGAGTACTCAATTCAGAGAGCACAGCAGCTACTAGAGCACCACGGCAGCGTGCCTGAAAGGCAATTTTAAGCCTTTTTAAATTATCAATGACAAACGTTAAAACTCAAATCGTACAACCATGAATGTGTCTACCAGATGAGTGTTCATGTCTCTGCTTTACATACGGGTTTGCCTGAGGTAGTCGTTGAGAAGCTGGAAGAGCAGCAGGGCATCCCAGTTGTCTTCTGGCTGCTTATCCAGCACATCATCCATGTCCACGGAAAACAGCTTCCAGAACATCTCGGCGTGTTCCTCAAACAGTTCACTTGCCAATGCAAAAGCCTGCACAGCAATAGGGGAGTGAGTAACACTGAATGACCAAGTTAACCTCACGAGAATATTCCCCGCATCACTATCCGCAAACCACAAACAGTTTTTTTTAATCTGTAAATGATGAGAAAATCCCATTGCAACAGAAATTCGAGTGCAGGCCCAGAAATAAACCGTACGTTTCAAACAATATGCAAACGTGTAAGAAGCACATGTCCTTTGTTAATTATGCAAAAACCATCAGAGTTTCCTGAATAACTGCATTGTGGTCCTCTCATATTAGGGCACCATCCAAATACATTTTAGCAAATGTGACCAACTGACGGGCATGTGGAAGTGGAGGGAAATTTGAGTGTGGATGTAGTAGGGACTGGACGTGTGTGGTTCTCAGAGGCAGGCTATGCAGCAGTGAGCATTGGTAATGATACTCGACTGGCAACCAGCCCCACAGTTGTTTGACACTGCATCACTGCTGCTGTCAGTCGGTCACATTGGCTCATGTTTATTTTGATGGTGACCGAAGACAAGAGGACCGCAATGCTGTTCTTTAGGAAACGTCGATGGCTTTTTGCATGTGCATAATTGACAAAGGCTTTCTTTACAACCAGTTTATATTTCTGGAAAAGTTGTTCATGAGAGTCCTCGTCGTCATTGTCGTACCCCCCCCCCACCCCCCCAGTGCTGCTAGTTGTGTCCTTTCCGGTCATCCTCATCCTTGCAGCGGCTTTCAGATGCGCTTCTGTGGCCGTCTGGAACACTCTTCCTTCCGATATTAGGAAGTCACTGGAGCTATGCATTCTTAAATCTAGATTAAAAACTAATTTCTTCAGAATGGCTTTTTGTGTTTAGTTTGTTGTTCTTCCCCCGCACCTCTGATTGGCTATATACGGTCATGTGAAAAAAGTTCAACATACATACATGCGTGTGGAGTCGTCTCTTTGCTGAAATGATGAGTCACATGGGCAGCTGCACCCAAGACATCTTTCCTTACAAGCTCATCTCAAGTGTGGCATTTATCTATCTATTCATCCCAGAGTAATTGAGTCAAAGCCAATATGGCCATCGTTAACAGTGAGATTAAACAACTTCTGCAAGCCTCTTAAATTGGGTTAATTGTCTTTCTGTTATGATGCAGGAACACAGAAGGAGCCAAAATTTATCTGTTTACAATCGAGGGTTAGGGTAGCTACAAGTGTATAGATATTTTTTTTGTTTGTGGGAGTACGGGCACGGTGAGCAGGCTGTGGTCCCCACCTCCGCGTGGTAATCATCGTTCTGCTGCAGCACGTCGATGCACAGCTCGGCCAGGTTGATGAGCCCCTCCAGCTTCTTGCTCGGAGTGTTTTCCTCCTCCTCCCCCACTTCCTTCCCCTCCAGGGAGTCGACTGCAAGAGGCAAGATGCACGTTGCATTTTACAGCTTAGCTGAGTGAACCGCATGTTGCCCATGTCCAGTAAGGGGTAAAGGTGGAGCCCTGCGATTGCTTGCTTACGCCACTGCTGACGGAAGAGCGGCCTGATAAGCAAAGTTTATAATCCCCCATTCAGCCCTATGAACCGCAGGGGTGCTCAGTACTGTCACTGGGCCCAGTGGTAGCGTGTTTGCCACTTATTGTTGCAGAGGTTCACCGTTACAATCAGGCGGCCACCCTCGTTTTTTTACTGCGGATGTAATAATAACAACCATGAGACTACTACGCACCGTCTGCTTCACGGTGGACCCCAAGATTCCCCTGATGTAATTCGCAAGAGTAGGCTATTGTGTGCCGGCGTCAGGGTCCACATTTGCCAAATTCAAGAATTACACTGCAAATTTCTCAAGGATTATACATGGCAACCGCCCTCTGCTGGCAGACTACGGTTCCAGGCCACTCTTGCAAATGAAGCTCATCCTGGTCTCCCGAGTTCCCACCTGGTTAAACAAAATAAATTTAACTACCTTAACCTATTGTATCTATGTTGGACTTCTTTCGCACTGTACGTAACGAACTGTGCTAATTGGAGGTGTGGGGGAAGGACAATATACTAAACACAAATAGCAGTTCTAAAGAAATGTATTTTCAATCTAGATTTTAAATTGCCGAGCTCCAGTGGCTTACTAATATCAGAAGGAAGATAGTTCCAGACGGCCACAGAAGAGCACACAAGGAAAAATGGTTTCGCCAGAACACAATTCACATTTGACTTTGTCTATCCAGTGCTAATAATCACACACAGCACCAGGTGATAAATTAAGGTTAGATAGGCCTAGGGGGATCTGCGAAAAGGTTTGGATTTGATTTGTCATGAATGCTATGCTTGGCCTGGACTCGCACAGAGTGAGCTGAGAATGTCCTATTAAAAGTTAAACATTGCAACACCACTCTGCGCATACACACACAGGGTAAAGTCGATAACACGGATCGTCTACATCCTCACTTGAAGACTGCATGACACACACGTCACTACAAACTAATGGTACTGGTGTTGTGGTCACAGACAGCTCAGGAGCATGGAATAAGTTTTGTAGTTGCGGTGGGAGGTCACGTTGAGTATCCTGGAAGGCCTAGGAAGGATACTAAATTGAGGAAGGCACAACAATATAATTTCAAAGGCCAAAAATCTGAGAGGGGGGTGGGGCACCACCCTTCTGAGCCCTATGGCCCCACACCCATATGAGAGCCGATCTGCCCAATGCTGTAACCGTCACGTACCCTTAGTAACATGACTCACGATCACGGAAAACAAAAACTAGTGGTTCGTAGATGATTCTTGAGTTAGGCCACGTAACAATCTTGCCACATTCGTATTAACCCTTTCCCAATCCGATGACATACGTGTACATCATCAGTTTTTATTCCAATCCCGTTCCGACGTACACGCGTACGTAGAATCGTAAGTAAAAGGCCATGCGGGAGGGCATGTAGCACAATTTGGCACCAGCTATCACAGAGTGTGGTCGTGCCGCGACAGTTCTCTGCAGTGAGTACAATGTCTTTGAAAAACAGCAACGCCATGCCTCTGTAAATAACGTAAACGCTAACCACTTGTATGTTCCGAGATTCATCGTTGAACGGGACCCCACCCTGTGCCTTGCAGTCGTCTCGAAATGGGAAAGGGTGAAAACCCTCTACCACCCAATGAAGAAAACAAATTGCCACCTGTAGAAGTGGCTAACCATCGAACAAAGAAGGTCACTGCATCGGGTGCTTTCAGACGCGCTTCTGTGGCCATCTGGAATGCTCTTCCCTCCGATATCTTGAAGCCACTAAAGCTATGCACTTTCAAATCTAGATTGAAGACTCATTTCTTTGTAACTGATTCTTGTGTTAAGTTTGTTGTCCTTCCCCCGCACCTCTGATTAGCACAATTAGCTACGTACGGTGCAATTTGAAGTTCATCATACGTACAAACCTACAAGTTACGCAGTTGCCCTATGTTGGTAACCAAGACATTTCTGCTCATTTCTGTGCTCGGGCAGTTTAGAGGGTGATGGTTTGGGCACGTTACCAGTCGGGTCGGCTTGCTTATCCTCGATCTGCGCATACTCCGACAGGCGGGTGTAATTGATGAACGCCGCATTCTCCAGGCAACTTCTCAGGACCGCCTCCATCTCGGCAGGAGGAACCATGGTGGCCATGTCCTTCATCAACACCTGCACAGAGCCGCGGGCACACCACACACACACGCGCCCACAGAACATGCAGCCTCCAGAGGCAATAGCGCAACGCGCGTGGCTGTGATTGGTTAATTCGGGCGGTGAACTCATAACCCTCGCATTACAATCATTCATATTAATTGTATTACTTAACTTTCTTTCATTTATTTAAAGATAGCGTCTTGCGACTGAAACTTGATGAGTCTCAAGGAGCCCACCTGTATTATCGCGCTGTGGAGACAAGGACTGGTGCATCACTTACATTTGTGAACCTGTGAGGTGGTCAGGATATGGTAGTACAGCAAGTGGGTTCACAAGTAAATGTTGTGGATTTGCTCTCCAACACACCGGTGTGCTGTACGATTAACGAATTGGCTTGTTTTGTACATGACAAATCTGAATAATTTGCTATCGGGTTGTTGTGGGTTTAACGACACATTTATATTTACGCGATCTAATCCAAAAAAACCTAAATTATGGAGATATAAAGGGTTATCATTGTAATTGTAACAGATGGACATTGATTGTCGTGATGGTTCGAACACCGTATTTGCAATGCAGAGGTCGCCTGTTCGGTTCAATCTCCCGGCACGGCAGTTGGAGCAGTGGTGCGAGATTCCTAAATCCTTCAGCCTCTGTCCACCCAGCAATATAAATTGGTGCACCACCAGGGCTAACTGATTGGCAGGACACGTGGTGGGGTTAATGATGGGTGCCCTTACCTCTTCCAACACTTCTGGTCAGCGTGGAAGAGTTGGCCAAATTCGCTTTAGAGGGGCTCGCTGTCAAGCACCCTCTCGTGAATTATAATGAGAAAAAAGTAATGGAAAAAAATAAGATGTTTTACCATTTCTGGCAATAAGAGAGGTGTTAAGATTTTCAAACCTATTCTTCTTTTCATCATCATTTTGATACTGGCAAAAAGGTCCCATGGATATAAGGAAGTAATTGCAAGACTGCACCTTAACCTTTTACATTTGAACAATAAACATTCATCTCAGCCATTTAAGAATAAATATACAACTATCCTGTGTCAATTATAATGCCATTTTAATGTTGTACGTTTACTTTTGTAAGTTTGCAACGAGGGCTCACAGGCCTCTGGGGGATATATGACCATACTTCACTGCGCTGGTCACTGCGGGTTGGTGAACGCGGGATGCCTAAACATTGGAGCGTGGGACAGTACAACAACGGCATTTGATGCAATGCCCTCTCGGGACAACATAACACCCACAGAGCCCTTACTGTGCATGGTGGTAGCTACCCAGGCTCAAAAATACTTAGCTTCCGAAATGTGACAACAATAGCGAGTACATTGCGGGTGACTCACAGAGTCAAATGAGGTAACATTGTACTCCTCACAGCCCCGGCAATTACAATTCTTGCGGTCGCCTTGCCCACGATAGGCGGCAAATGAGCGAAGGAGATTTATTTGCGAGTGAGGAGCACAGCTTCAATAGTGGTCGCCTGAGATGAACACGCTGGCTGGCTGTGTGCTCCCGTGCACGAGCAGAGCGCAGCGCCCAACGTTGCTCCAATGGGTTCACGCTCTCACCCGCTCCAGCAGGGAGATGGTCGCCTTCAGAGCACCCTCCGGTCTCCCGAAGGGGAAGCAGTACCTGTGTGCAACACAGCGGGAGTGTGCCCCAGAGACTGTCATCGCCGCTCCTTCTGAAAACATTTCGCCGGCCCCAAGTGTTCAAGCAGTGCTTCTGACTCCACTCGCAATGACTCCCCCAAAGTCCAGATTTCAACATCAACAAAACCATTCGTGGTAAGCAGCCCACGTTGGGGGGAAGCGGTGATGTGGTGGTCACCACGCAGCGCTATGAACCCGGTGACGAGTTGGATTGTAATCCCAGCGACATTTGATATCTGAATCGATCCTGGGCCCCTCGACCTTCACCACCCCACCACACTGAGACGCATGGTGACATATGGTCAAACAACCGAACGTCATTGCAGCAGATTGACAAAGGGTAAATATATACGTTTAGTTTGTTGTCCTTCCCCACACCTCTGATTAGCATAGTTGGCTATGTACGGTGCCAAATAAGTAAAAAAATACATACATAGCAGACTGTCCTACTGAACAATCAGATTTATCAACTGTACAGAGCCAAAACACAATCAAATACTACCTTGTGGACAATATTCAGTAGTAATTGGGTAGACTGGTGCCTGCCATAGAAATGTGGAATTTACATAATTGGTTCAGGACTGCCAACAGAGCTTGACCAGGGTGTTTAAAGCTTATTTAAGCATGAACACAGCAACTCTTGTGAATACACTTGTACACGAGGTAAAATGTATTTTACAATGTGTTTATGCATGAGTAATTCATATTATGTAAGAAGAATTTAAAGTTTAGTTGCTGAACATTAACATATTCCGTGTATGTTTTTTTGCGTCCATTAATCTCAAACGGGGCTCGTGGCTGGGGACGGCATCTGCCGAGTTTATTTTGGTTTAAGGAGCCCGCCAGGCAACACAGCAGTCAGAGTGAGCGGCTCGCAATAAGGTCATGGGTTCACCTACTCAGACTTTGCCTTCCCATACAATCAACCGAATCAGGACCGGGTATGGCCAATGCGGCCACCCGATGCACAAATGGTGCATCAAAGATTCGGCGGCCTTGCGAGTGGGGTCACGAATTCCAAACCATTGACCGCATCATAAACAGTTGCTCCTTTAAAGGAGGAACGGTCGAGATCCACTCTGTATCTGAGCAGACAATCGAGTGGATAACAAATCTAAAATTACATCTTTAACCTGCTGTTATTTATCAATGCGAAAGAAGATGATAAAATCTACAAATTGGAAGAAAAATAGTCTCTTTACCGTTAACTTAATTAATTTACCAATTACCTTTCTTATGTGGTTTAATACCAATATCATCCAACTTACAGGTTTTTTGGGGTTAGAGAGTGTAAATATATAAATCTGTAATTAAACCCACCACCACCCAACACAGCCAATAAGTAAGGTTTGTCACGTTATCAGAACATGCCAATTCGTTATGAGTACAGCACACCGGTGTGTTGGAGAGAAAAGCCACAACATTTACAATCTGAGTACGACGTTTCGCCAGTAATCATAACTAGCTTCATCAGGCGACAGCCAGATTTGTGAAGAAATCCTCCTGTTTCGTTCCTTAAATAGAAGGGTAGATGTGATGACATCACTTGTGAGCCCTTCTTGAGTGGAGGAGGATTAATGAATGCATAAAAATGATAGTGGGTACTAATTTCCGGTTGGGTTATTTATATGGTAATCAACATACATTATGCAAGCGCATTATGCGAGCCCATTGTTCTTGTACCTCCAGTTGATTGTAAGCACTAAAATAGCAGTACCTGTTATTGTCTGTTCAATGGTAATCCCAATTGAAGTATGGTGACCTGTTATGGGCATGCATTTATAAATGTATCATTTGATGATCCGCTTCCAAGCAGTACGAAGTCTGTAGCTATCTGAACGGTTAAAACAATTTATACTTATCTCAATTTCGATATATTATCTAATTAGTCTTGGCCAGTAGTAACTAGTTTTGCAAAAAACTTCAACATTATTAAAATGTATTGAGTGTCCTTGTTGGTACGCATGTTCTGCCACTGCCGACAGTTGTGTAGTGATATATTCACACGGACACTAGCTTTTCTCCTGTGTCACTTTATCACCTCGCATACCGTGTGGATGCTCCTCACACTAACACAACGCACCCTTGCTCCGAACTCCCTATCTCTATTCTCTGCTAGCCTGTCACTCTATACTCCACTAGTCTGTCACTCTATATTCCACTAGCCTGTCACTCTATACTCCACTAGCCTGTCACTTACTACTCCACTAGCCTGTCACTTACTACTCCACTAGCCTGTCACTTACTACTCCGCTAGCCTGTCAATCTATACTCTGCTAGCCTGTCACTCTATACTCCGCTAGCCTGTCACTCTATACTTCGCTAGCCTGTCACTCTATACTCCGCTAGCCTGTCACTCTTCTCTCACACCTCCACCTTCATCCTTGCCCCCAGCAGGGGATCAGCCAACACCGCTGGGGAGGACGAGGTGTGGAGGGCGAGGTCCCAGGCTTCTTCTCCCTAACTCTTGTCCTCTTCGTTCCTTCAGCTCCAACCAACAACCCCATGTTGCTCCGCACACACCCTCATATCCCCCTCCTCATTAAGGGTCCTCAGTTACCACCCATTAAGCTGGCGCCTCCTGCACGTGCTCTCTATCATCATCTCCATCTCCCGCCTCTCCGACATCTACCCCGTGTTCCCACGCTCGCACCTGCCTGTCCCCAAATGCACCCACTTAATTACTGCCTCACCCCCTAATTGCTGGCGCCTCTGGCGGCTACTCCATGTCTTGACACTTGTACCTGCTCGCCCTCAAATGCACCCGCTGTTTGCAACCCCCTGCGCGTTATGCCACTACAGTTGTATTTGGGAGTATTTAATATTTCTTTGGTGTTCTTTTAGTCTCGTGCTGATCATTCGTCCTTTTTGTCCAACATAGTATTTGTCACAAGTTAAATTAATCTGGTACACACCTGTTGATAGTTTCAGTAATACATCTTTTATACCAGATATTAATTTCTGTATTTTATGTACCATGCCAAATCTGACACGGATGTTTTGTTTTTTCCAAACATCTGACTAGTTTACCAGTTACTCACGCAAAGTACGGTATTAGTTGCGCCCAGTTGCACTTTATTTTGCGCACAGTTGCAATTTACTTTGCTCAGATGGTGTTAGTTGCTGAGGCCGTGACGCTTTTCTTTTCTCATTCTTCTTGCTCGTTGCCCCCTGTACCATTCCCGTTCTGCTGTAATGTGCGCAGATGCCGAATTGTTTTAGGGTGATATTGGCATGTAAAATAAAGATCAATCATTTGATTCTGAATCGAATCCCTTCCCGTTTGGTATCGAGCGGCAATAAGCACATCACGGGGCTGCATGGTGGGAGTGTAGACCATGTGTCAGGTGGTGCGAACCTGAAGTGAGCGATCTGGTTCTCCAGCAGACTTCTCAGCCGGCCTCTCAGTTCATTGTAACGCTCCATCTCCTCCACAGTCACAGAAGAAAACCCATCTGGCCTGCGGCACAACATTAATTTATTATCGGCGTTTTTTAAAATATAAATCTTCCTCGATGTTATCCCGGTTGTGTTATCAGCATCATGTCGTGAGATGCAGCATCAATTTGGACAGTTTGCAGAGTAGGTAAACTCTTTCGTGGTATGATGGAGCAACATCCCTTCAAGCAGCCCCCTGTTCGACGCAGTAAGGGGCAGCACTTTCCAGCACTTTCCTGTCCTGATACTAAAGGTCGTCGCACGGCAGTCCAACCAATATTTAAATTTTCAGAGCTCAAATTTATCAGAACCAAAGTTAATGTGATCGTCTATTTGATTAGTCATTGATGATAGGGCTGAGACCATCAACTAACTACACTTGAGAACACGGTTTAATCACAGGCAGTGGTTGAAGCCTGGATTCGAACCCAGGATTTCAGAGGTGCCGACTCTGTGTTCTGACCTCTGAGCAGCCCGGCCATATCCTGCAGCGTTCGTTTTTCAATGACCAAATATTTTGTCATGAAGTGCAAAACATATTTTTGTGCCATTTATATGATTCATCATTCACAAAATGCTTCAAGATAAATTATTTTTTTATACATCTGCATGGAAGTAGAAAAGTATTACACATCTTACACAGGATTGCATGGCACTGCATGTTCTTTCACGCTCATTGGCAAGGGTGGCAGGCATAGGTGCAGCTGTGTTGGACCGAATCACCACTAGGGGTATCGTATTATATAGCATTATCCTGTTTTACAATAACTTTTTCCACAATTGCCATTTCACTATAATATATGGATTAATATTAGAATTCTGATGTGTAGTTTTCAGTCTCATTTGAAAACGTTTCATCTCGGGAAGCTTCACCTGGTTACAACAGACTATATGACTGGAAATCATATTTCGAGACGAACACAGATTATCATACATCTTTTCTTTTGCCCTTTCATGTATATTTCTCCTCTGGTTATTAATTTTAAAATGCCTGCTATACACGCACGCAAAACCTGGGAAATTGTGCAGCCCTGCAATTGCCCAGTCGTGCCACCGCTGGCAGAAGGGCCTCTACCAGTGCGTGCTCTATAGAGCCTATATTTTGGCCTACTATTCCACGCTGAACATACAGTCTAGGAAGAGGTGGGAGTAACCACACTTTACCCCACCACACATGACCTGCTGCGTTAAACCCATTTATACTGCTGGGGTGAACAGGGGGGAGAGTTCAGAAAACTTTCCCATTCGCTCCAACTGTCATGCCGGGGGGTTCGGAGAGGCGACCTCTGTCTGGACTCACCATCACGCCGCGTAACCTACTCAATCAACGAGAGCAATTCACTGAGCTGAGCTCAGGGGCTGATCTAGAAACTTCCCAACGGCGGGTGGGGCTGCGGTTCTCAAAATTTCAAGCTTTGATATATAGGGCCCTGTATTAATAAACAAACATTCAGCATGTTTTCTATGGTCAATATCGATAAAACACCAATTTTTCAGATCCACCAGCTGCTGCTGACCGGACCTGTTGCCGAACACGTGAGAAGCACAGAAGGCGAAGCTGTAGTGAAGCAGCGTGGGGTCGATCATGGTGCCACTCTCGGCCTTCTCCAGCAGGTCGTTGAGGAAGCACAGGTGCCGGTGGCAGCCACGCACGCCGTAGCGGGCGCAGTACTCGTCCAGCACAAACACCTGCCCTGGGCTCAACCAGCCCTGCCATTCAACACGCACCTCCGATTTAGCACGGTGGGCTACATACGGTGTGAAAGAAGTTCAATATACATATATACAACCACATACACCCTGCGTAGTGCACACACAGTCATCAATCAGACACGTGACTACACAAGGGCAGCAGAGTGGCATAGTGGTAACACTCGTGTCTCACAGCAGAATTCCCTGGGCTCGATTCCCGACTCGGGCGCCTTTCTGTGTGGAGTGTCCGCACCTTCAATTATCACAGTTGGCTATGTATGGTACGAAAGAAGTTGAACATACATACACATATATACGAGAGTTTATATCCACCCCTGTTCTGCATGGCTTTCCTCAGGGTTTTCGTTCCTTCCATAGCTTTTAACATACAATATAAATAGTTTCGGCTAAACATCCTCCCCATAAAATGCACTTGAAAATTACTCAATTGAGATTACACCGAGCAATTCTTGCCCCTGACTGCAAAATACTTCACAGGACCCTCCTGTGAAGTGTGTACTGAAGGGTTACATGTGTATGTATGTTGAACTTATTTCGCACCGAAGTAGCCAACCACACTAATCGGAGGTGTGGGGGAGGACAACAAGTGGGATAATAATGACAGAATTACACTGCTGGGGCAACTCAAAACGCCTTAGATATGATAAATGATTTAGGTCTCATTTTAAACATTCGAATGGGCACCCCCAGTGGCAGCTGTCCCTGCTACGTGTATGAAGTTTTAAAACCTACCACTCGTAGCACAAGGTAACTCAGCACCTGGCCTGCAATCAGACAATAGTCTGCCAGTAGGAGGGCCGACGCTGCTGTGTGGAATCCCAATTGAGTAATCTGCGGGTAATTTGCAAGTAATTTATACAATTTGGCAAATTTCGACTGTGACGCTGGCCCACAATGTAAGACTCATTTCGAATATCATGGAATTTTAACAGCCACTGTGAAGCAGACGGTGCTTAGTATTTTCTTTTTTATACACACGCAGTATTAACCAGGGCCTCCGGCCAAATTCGAAACCGCCAACCTCTGCAACAAGCGGCCAACGTGCGACTGCTGGGCTGCTGCATCACTGCCCCCCCCAATTCACGCGCACTTCACGCATTGCGACTTGCAAGGCAGGAGATGGAGTCGCTGAGCCGGTGTTCGAGGGTGCTTCGCTGGAGCTGCTCAAAGAAGGAGTCGTGGTCAAAGTCGCTGGGGTTGGCCCAGATCAGCTCTTCGATGCCGTACTTGGAGGCTCGATCAGCTGTGGATGTACCAACACAAACCATCTGCATTTCAGTTTGGGTGTGTGTGTGTGTGGGTGTGTTTGCAAAGAAAAGTGCCAATGCACTGGGTTTATTTCTAGTCAGCATATAGCTCAGCTGGTAAACCGGCAAGCTCCCAATGATGATTTACTCACCTATGCCCAAATGTGCCAGATCTTGTCAGATCTAAACCGGGAGTGGCGAGTGTCATAGGGTTTGGCTTTGAGGTGGGGAAGAGATGGCAGTAAAGCCATTATTTTACGAATCTATTTGTGCAGGTTTTTGTGTGTTGCCTCCTTATATGTGTTTGATTTGTCCAGGTACTCGGGTTTCCTTCAACATAGCATAATAAACCAAAACATGGAATTGGCCATGACATCCCATTGAGGACTTCCTGAAATAAAAGTCTCGATGCGTAGTGAGGCTTCCCTGGGTACGTGGAGGGAAATATGTTGGGTTTAGCAGTTGCATTCAGAGTGTGTATGGTCTGGCAGCGGCCACAACACGAATTATCAGCTGTTTCCCCCGAGTTCAAGCCATGCAGGGACGCATCCTCAACGGCTGGTTCCACCTCCTCACGAATTACTCCTGATGAAGTTTTAAAAGCTACTACTTGTATCTAGACATGTTTTGCAATTTTGAAACAATATATCTCCCACCATTTACAATGCAGAGCAGTAAATAACATATTATTGAATAGCACTCAAATCAAGTTTACGCAATTATTAGTTTCCAGACAAACTTAAACTCCTAAAGAGCACACCACAGTAATGACAGGACTTACTGACAGGGTGGGGCACCACAAGGTTTTCAGCACAGCAATAACATCCACTCATCTATTACGAGCCAATCATTACAGTGCAAGGACTCTGTGTAATAAGAGAGCTCTGTCAAAGCTTCACTGCACATGTATTTATATACCGAGGCACAGTGCTGGTGAAGGACAAGATTTGTATATCAGAGGCCACAGGCCCTCATCCTAGAGAAGGAGCTCACTAGGATCAGTCCCACACTCCAGGTATTCCCAGGAATCCACAACGATGGACCTAGTCAGTGCCATGGTTCCCTGGAATTGGGCCAAAGGTACAATAAACTGAAATTTCAACACCAAGTCTAATGTCTGCATTGATCTTTTCATTCCGTTTGCGTGGAACAGCCCACATGAACCTACGTATGTAATTCCTAATACCTATTACGATCAAGTAACTATGGTCTACACGTTTCCATTTACTGCAGAAGCACGTTTTGGTCCTTGCCCTATGGAGAGAGGGCACAACCACGGCTCCCCGAGACATTCCCACACTGGCTGGGGATTGTCCATGGCCGTGCTCATTCGAGCAGCAAGAGACACTGGCTTCAACGTTTTATATCATGCCCATTATTTACAGCTAATTTGTGGAATATTAAACGTGTGCTGCAGTTAAATGGTCGAAGAGAAATTACCGTGTCACTGCTTGGCTGCGTAGTTCCCACAGGGAACACGGGGGTACAAAGGGGGAACAAGGGGGAAACAGGTATGTATCTGTCCACAAATATTTAAGTTCAAGTTTATTTTGTTTAAGCAGGTGAGAACTCAAGAGACGAGGACAGTCTCGTTTTTGAGAGTGGCCAGGGTGAGCTGGGCATCGCGTGGATTTTTCTCCAGGTAAGTGGGCCTTACTTGGTAACATAATTAAAATAGTTTATAGCTTATTCTAAAACCGGCGTGGCGGCGGCGAGCGCCGTGTTGAGTTCACGTGCATTCTGACGGCAGCAGCGTCCCTCCGGGAGCGCTCAGCTTGCCGCCCTGAGATGGGTGTAGGGGCTTGTGAGACTGGCCGGTGGCACGGCAGAGCGCCTGCACCCACAGCACGCAGTCCTGATCGTCGTCACTCGCCAGCTGCAGGGAGTCACCCTCCTTCACGGCGCGGAAGAACGCACGCCCTCCAGTCACGTCTGCGGTGAACATAAGGCGCGACGTACAAATAAATAAATAAAACACAGCAAGGTACTCAATAGGGATTGCACAACAGCAATCATTGCCCCAGCTGACAGGCTGCTGGCTCCTCGCTGCTGGCTCCTGGCTGCTGGCCGCGGGCTGATGGCTCGTGGCTCGTGGCTGCTGGCTGCTGCTACTCGGTGCGATGTGATCGTGATTCCCCATGGCAGCCGCGTGGCTCCTCCACGGGGGCCGCACCGCAGCGGCGCTACCTGCAGGGGGCTCCGTGTAGTCCACGGTGAAGCCGTCCGTTAGCATCAGCTCCTGTGGCTCCGCCTTGCGCTCACGGTAGCTGCACATGGCGAACGTGCACTGGCTGACCTGGAAGCAGTCAAAACGACGGAATGATGCACTTTCTCCCCTCTAGGGCTCATGGTGGCAGTCTTACGAAATCATTTCAAATACTGTGTTTGTTACTTTTCTCGTGTCTTCCCAGGCATCCTGAGAGGCTTCCCGGGAAGCCTGGGTCTCGTATCAAACCACCTTATATCGCCACGACAAATCACTTGTGCATAGAGCCCAGTTATCCAGGTTGCCTTGTATCAGGCTTCATAGACTTGAATGTGGCTATGGGCACACTGCTTTGGCACCAGTTTTGGAACCAATTTTGGCACCAGTTTTGGAACCAATTTTGGCACCAGTTTTGGAATCAATTTTGCCATCGGTTTTGGCACCAGTATTAGCATGGGTGCCACCCCTCCTGCACGCGACCGTGAAGCTGCACAACAATCGGCCATGCGCATAATCGACGACTGCTCTTCAACGGTGGCGACAAGAAGGGACAGAAAGGGAGAGCGAGAGTTGATTCAAGTCCATGACATGAAAATCGAGCATTTGAGAGATGCTGATATTAAGAGTTTGAGAGATGCTGATATTGAGCGTTTGAGAGATGCTGATAGTGAGCATTAAAAGGATGCTGACAGCAAGAGTTTGAGAGATGCTGATATCGAGGTTTGAGAGATGCTGATATGAAGAGTTTGAGAGATCATGATATCGAGAGTTTGAGAGATGCTGATATTGAGCATTAAAAAGATGCTGACAGCGAGAGTTAGAGAGATGCTGATATTGAGATTTGAGAGATGCTGATATGAAGAGTTTGAGAGATCATGATATCGAGAGTTTGAGAGATGCTGATATTGAGCATTTGAGAGATGCTGATATTGAGAGTTTGAGAGATGCTGATAGAGAGTTTGTGAGATTCTGATAGTGTTTGAGAGATGCTGATAGTGAGCATTTGAGATATGCTGATAGCGTGCAATTGAGAGATGCTGGTATTGAGCATTTGAGAGATGCTGATATCGAGCATTTAAAAGATGTTGATATCGAGCGTTTGAGAGATGCCGATATCGAGAGTTCGAGAGATGCCGATATCGAGCATTTGAGAGATGCTGATAGTGAGCATTTGAGACATGCTGATAGCAAGCATTTGAGAGATACTGATATTGAGAGTTTGAGAGATGCTGATAGCAAGCATTTGAGAGATGCTGATAGAGTAATTGAGAGATGCTGATAGTGAGCATTTGAGAGATGCTGATAGCAAGCATTTGAGAGATGCTGATATTGAGCGTTTGAGAGATGCTGATAGCGAGCGTTTCAGAGATGCTGATAGTGAGCATTTGAGAGATGCTGATATCCAGAGTTTGAGAGATGCTGATATCGAGGTTTGAGAGATGCTGATATGAAGAGTTTGAGAGATCATGATATCGAGAGTTTGAGAGATGCTGATATTGAGCGTTAAAAAGATGCTGACAGCGAGAGTTTGAGAGATGCTGATATCGAGATTTGAGAGATGCTGATATGAAGAGTTTGAGAGATCATGATATCGAGAGTTTGAGAGATGCTGATATTGAGCATTTGAGAGATGCTGATATTGAGAGTTTGAGAGATGCTGATAGAGAGTTTGTGAGATGCTGATATTGAGCATTTGAGAGATGCTGATAGTGAGCATTTGAGATATGCTGAAACCGTACAATTGAGAGATGCTGATATCGAGCGTTTGAGAGATGCCGATATCGAGAGTTCGAGAGATGCCGATATCGAGCATTTGAGAGATGCTGATAGTGAGCATTTGAGACATGCTGATATTGAGCGTTTGAGAGATGATGATATCGAGCATTTGAGAGATGCTGATATCGAGCGTTTGAGAAATGCTGATATTGAGTGTTTGAGAGAAACTGATATTGCGCGTTAGAGAGATGCTTTTTTGAGCGTTTGAGAGATGCTGATATGCAGCTGTGATAGCGAACTCAAAAGGAAGACGAGTATGGAAAGAAACACTTCACCGCAGATGCTCCATCGCTATGAGGAACACAAATTGCTAGAGCGGGTAAGAGGGTTCTCTGCTGCATGCAGGCACGGTGAGCTGCTTACATCGTCTCGACGAGGAACCCATTCATTTAAGTCAAACACAGTTTAGAAAATTCGCGTAAGTTCAGTACAAACTTAGCATCAACATGGGTAGACATTTAAAATACAGATGCACTGAGGCAAAAATAAACGGGAGAGCGGTCAGGTTTAACCTTAATACATGTCCGTTGTAAAAAACAAAAACAATCACATGACCCTGTGTGCATTCACACGGTCCTTACCTGCACCAGGACAAAATATCTTTTCTTCCATTTTTTCCAAACATTTTTCCCTTGGGCCCATAAATATCTACAAGCAGGAAAGCACAACAACAATTAGGTGCAATATAATGTGCAAAGTCCAACCTGATGGTAATCGTACACCCATGCATGCATAAATAGTTAAGGACGACAGTAGCCATCAAACCGCATGCAATTGTAACTTTTTAAGAACTATTTTATTGAATATCAACATTTTTTTTAAATCCAGGAATATTAAATCACGCAGCATAAGTTTAGGAAAGAGACGACACTTTCAATACGCATACTACAACTCACACTACCACACAGCAGCGTCCTTACAGTGTGCTCTGCGGGAGGTGCGTAGAGCACAATAATAATAATACATCACACGCACTACACACACGTGCAGTGCATATAAAGTCGGAAGAATTAATGATGAATGCATGACACTGAGTCGTTTAATTTCACCTGATCATGAGCACATGGAACAAAATACAGAAGCAGACAAAACACCTTGAAATATCTGACCCTCCACGTGAAACAGCAAAGTATTTTCTTTACACATCCCACGAGTCACACATGGCCTTCTAGGAATGAATAATATCAGCATTGGTTCAACACAAGCAACACTGGACCAATTTCGATACACACAGTGTCTCATTAGCAGAGTCAGGATTGCTAACACCAATTCCGGTGAACAGAAAGATGTTTATCGGCAACAGTCTCTCCGTTAGATATGGGTCCTAATTCGCCAGAAAATTACATTTATAACACAGAATAATCACTCACGTCATTGTCTGCATATTATTTTGTTACTTATATTCTCCACAATGATGCTAATGATTGTTTTGTAATAAGTACGTGGAGTTGTCAATGCATTCTAAGTTTTACGAGTGATTGGGACGGCTAATGAATATGTAGCTGTGAACACAGTGCCTTGTAGTCAGTCGTGAGGAGGGCTCATGCATGAGTGTGAATGTGAATGGGGATCGATGAATAAGTCCATTCCTACTCTTAATCCTGCCCTCTGATTGGCTTATCAGGAAATTTCTACATGCCATGCGTTCCTACCTGAACCTTGAGAACAGCACGGTGATGAGATGTTAACTACCTCACCTGGCATACAGGAGTGCGTAAGTACAATCCCTACCCTGCCGCCTCTGTTATTTGGAGTTTGCATGTTCTCCTCGTGGTCACGTGGATTTTTATCTCGGTTCTCCGGTTTTCCCCTCCACATTTATAAACATCCGTTTAAGAGTATGTAGCTGCTATAGATTTCCACAATATTTCTTCCTGCCTAAGCAGTCCGCCTGCTGTATTTTTTCACCTGAAGACGATTGCTTGTGTTGCGATCGAAACGTCGTGATTTTTATTATTTTATTATTTTTCTTCCATCTACGTGACTTTACCGAAAGACCCAAAGAGTATGAATTCCTGCGTTCACGAAAGCTTTAAGTCAAGATTTATTTCCAGAAGATAAGCCACTTTTTTGGGCTATCATTTGTAGCTAGCTCAGTGGGCCTTACCTGGTAAAAATAAAAGTTTAGTCTAAATAGAAATAGGTCGCACATTGTACAATAAGGGATCAGTATTGTACAATGTTTCACCAATTGCAATTACTGTACAAATTAATGCAGGCTACAAGTGTTACCCCTACGCCACCCAGCAGCCCTAATTGATGATGATCATATCAGTGGAATACATGAATGGTGATAAAAAAAAAACCTTGGTATGGTGATCAGGGTGTGCACGTCGTTTGAAATGCGTAAAGCACAGCACGCCGGAAACTTGCCAACCAGCAACCATCCAATCAGGGATGATGTCATGCACTTTTAAATCTAGATTTAAAACTAATTTCTTTAGAACTGCTTTTTGTGTTTAGTTTGTTGTCTTTTCCCCCGCACCTCCGGTTAGCACGGTTGGCTATGTACGGTAGTGCGAATGAAGTTCAACATGCATACGTCACCATTTCATCTGATATCGCAGCGACAACAGCAACTCGCTCAAGAGAAATTCAGCGAGGCTAGAGATGGAGAGACTCTCCTCACCCACTGTGCTTCATGTTCTGTGGCTTGTCCATGCGCAGGCCCAGTTTGATCTTCATCCCCTGGTCCACGCTGTTCTTGGGTACCGCCAGAGCATGTAGCTCATTGACGCGAGTGGCTGTGGCCATGGGCTGAAGGATCACCTGCCAGTGGTAAACACAGCCTGTTTGGGACTTGCGCCGACCGCATCAGTGGCTCTCCTCAACGTGGAAAGATAAACTCCAGTGGAAAAGTTAAACATTCACCGATGTTTTACTGTGACTGATTAAACAAAATAAAGGAATATTACATCATAAGTTTAACACTACACCGCATGACTAAACAAAACCTTTAAAAAGCCGGAAGTCGTCATGGATCAATGCTACTGATGCTAATGCTCCTGTCATAACTTCCTCCCTTATGCTAGATTCGACAGCTGTTGCATAGTTTAACATCGACCTTCGAAGCTTGTTATTACAATGTGTCCCGCCATCTGAACTTAAATCTTGATCACATCGGTTGTGACCTCCTCTTCCTTATTACATCATCATTGCTTTCCACATTCCGATTCAACCGTCCCTGTTGTGGTTTAAACAGACATCTATCTTTTGGCTGGGAATATAACACGCTCCAGGAACAGAAAGTCACAATACCATATTGCAAGTGAATTATTCGGACTTCCTGGATCTTGTCCTGAATATGGTATAGTTTCAAATGAAACGTCACGGATCTAATAACTGAATATGGTTGTGAGAATTGGACTCAACAGTGAATGAGCTGATAGAATAATAAATGGCACATTAAATGCTTGGTCTCGTGATCATTTAATTTAGTAGCTATGTTGGGTGATAGAGGGTCTTACGATAGAAATTTTACCGGATCATGAGGTGACCTAATAAAAAAACATCGCTCATGAATCACAAAAACTGGCTGCGAAAACGTACATGTTAAATGTACAATGTTACCACGCACTAACACAAAACCTCACCTGAGATTAAACCATCATGAGAGCTTGACCCTACTGATGCTGCATCGTTACAATTGTAATATACACATGTAATTTATCATAAAAAGTATTCGGTGTGATCCAAACACGAATTAGTATTTGATGGCAAGAAATACATTCTTATAATCTACCAGGATCCGAGCTCGAAATTGGCATTTCTGAATGTAATGCCATGTGCAGGAATGGAACTGCTTTGCAGTCTGAATGCCAGACTCACCCGTCCCAGCTCCTTGTCCTCCAGGGCCAACTTTCTACTGTTCACTGCAAACAACTTCACCTTCACCAGGGGCAGAGGGACATTGATCCTGAAATCCCCCTGCGTGTCCCACCTGCAGCCACACCACAGCCACGAAAGGTGAATACCCGGACACTGTCGTTTACACCTTGACACGTTGGGTGAGATGTGTGAGAGTGTGTACATAGCCAACCATGCTAATTGGAGGTGCAGGGAAGGACAACGATGAGTATTTGTGTGATAAGGATGGACATTTGACATTACAGCAAATAAAATTATATCTGTGCAACATGTAGAAACATAACCACGATTGCTAACCCCTTTCAATAAAAATACCTCTTTCAATGAGGAATGGTAACGAATGCGGAATTTTGGATGAGAGCGATGTCTTTTGAATTTCATTTTTTCAGATATAGTGTCCTGGAATGTTTAGGCCCAATTTAATATTTATTTCGTATTTCCAGATTTAAATGTGTTAAGTTTAAATAACTTCCATTGTTCACGCACTACATTTGATCACCTTAAGAATTGTAAATATCGATCATTGAATGTAAATTGTGAACATATAGTTCCATCAGTTACACAATTTTACATTTTAATTATGCAAGTGAAAGTGACGTTAAATATTTTGTCAAAATAGCATCACGTGACGGCACTGTGGCAGGAAGGGCAAAGGAGCGACGCCACGGGACGTCACATTTCGGATAATTCCAAAACTACTTTTGATCATCCGAAGTTCAATTGTTAGGCCAGATTTTTGGACAACCTGGAAATCGGCAACATGTAACAATAATTTTTACGTTTAAGGCACCTTTCACAATGTCTCAAGGCACTGTGCATGAAAAGGGCAAAGATAAGTAAATAAATAATGCTAGAGCCAACGAGGATCAAAATTGATGTGGAAAACCCTTTTTCAAAAGATGGGTGTTTAGTGGGGACTTAAGAGATATCAAACTCCCTTGTATGTCAATATCTGCACATAGGAGCGTAGTGATACAGTAGTTATTGTGCTGTGCCATGAACCCGACAACCTGAGTTTGATTCCCTGCCTCGGCTAATATCATTGGTGAGTGATCTCCAAACCAGTCCTAAACACCCATTTCTCCAACCTGCCCTGTCGAGCGTGATGAAGTGCGGTCAAACAATCCTATGACCAATAACAGCAGGGAAAGACCTTCATCGAGCAGTGGATTTACAAGGACTGTGTTATGATCATTGTTATATTAGCTCACAACAGAATGGCCACCAGTGAACAAGTAAGTAACAACCTACTACCAAAGCGACCATGGTTGGAGTGCATCATCCAATATTCTGATGATACAGATAAGCTGGTGTCACCATATAGGACCCGCCACTACAATCTCTACATTGGGTCAAACTTAACTTCTCTTAATGATTGACGGCTTGTGCATCAGATCTTATTTATTCACGATGTACTTACAAAAAAATCAGTAGACTACCTGCTGTATCTCCTCACTGTTTCGAAGAACAAATGTGACTTAAGGTCTTCGCTCATTTACCAGCTTCACATTCCTTATTGCTGTACCAATACTGGAGGAAGGGCCTTTTCTATTTATGCCCCCAGGGTCTGGAATGCTATCGCCAATAAACTGCAACTTGGATCACTACCTGTGAGATCTTCACTCAAAACTGCTCTAGAGGAGTTGTACACACCTAGCTGCCACTGCTATTCCGAATGGCCTGAAATAAAATGTATCATTCTGGATGACTGCTGCAAAACATGATCTTGAGTTCTGATTGTGGTGTGCTGATCTTTAAAGGTGTATTGAGAAATTTTGATTCTGCTACTGATGCTCCTGCTGTTATGGAGTGACTCATGCAGCCAGCTATGGCTACGGGGTTTGGTCGTACATATTATGTATATCGTTTGTTGTTGGATTTGAATCAGTTCCTATGATCACTGTTACATTTTGATTTGAAGCTTTCGTAACTGCAGTGATTCATATGCTTGGTTCTTTCGGTAAAGTCACGTTGAAGGGAAACAATATATTTTATTATTTTATTGTTTCCTTTCAACGTGATTTTACCGAAAGAACCAAGAATATGAATCACTGTTACATTGTTTTTGTGGCTTTATTTTGGTGATTTTGAGGACAGTTTGGTCTGGCCATGTTTGTTTGTTGAAGTACAGAGTTGGCCTGATACCTTTAATCTACATTGTTTTATGGTTGTTATTGTTTGACTTGCATCCCACTGGGATTTTTGCACACAGCGTTGAAATGCGGTGTTTTTTCTGGAAGACTTTTCTGTTTTTTCCAGGATTTTTTTCTGTTGCGTGTAGTCACTTTAAGATGTTTCTTGTTCATGTTTTTGTTTTGTTGCGGTTGCACCCGAGTCAAGATCCAGGTCCGTTTCAACACATTACATAAAATCCGTGATCTGGTTCCGTCTGTAAAAGATGTGATTCCGGACATACAGTACCCTGGTGTCTACAAACTAAGTTGCCTCTGTGGTAGTAGTTACATTGGAGAAACCAAACGCCATGTCTAGGACCGCATTCGTGAACACAAAGCAGACCTTAAACACGGTAGGACCAACACCTCGGCCGTGGCAGATCATTGTAATAATTCAGTAGGCTCACATGACATTGACTTCTTCAAGACAGAGGTTCTTTGTAAGCCATCTGGCTACCATGAGAGATTCGTTCATGAGGCTATCCACATATACAAGCACAGAGACAATTTCAACCGAGAAGATGGATTCTGGCCTCAGCAATCATTGGAAGGATTTGATAAACCATTTCAGGTCTTAATTGATTGTTCACGCTTACGGTGGCTTTCAGACATCATACATTAATTTTTCGTCTCCCCCCTCCTCTTTTCAGAACAATCATTGGAAGGATTTGATAAACCATTTCAGGTCTTAATTGATTGTTCACGCTTACGGTGGCTTTCAGACAGCATACATTAATTTTTCGTCTCCCCCCTCCTCTTTTCAGAACATAGATAGACTCGTCCTTCTAAACAAACTGCCAAATCGCTGCCCGTGGTGCTAACGTTTTTTTAAAATAACTAAAACACCGTTTTTTTAAAAAATAAATAAATAAAGGCAAACCGCCACTTCTTTCAAATGTTTCTTGCCATTGGTTTTCACACCTGATGATGACCGTTTGTGTTATGGTCGAAACGTCGTGAGAATTTGTATTGTTTTATATATATTTTATTGTTTTCATTCAACGTGACTTTACCGAAAGAGCGAAGAACATGAATAGGGTTATACCTAATAAATGAAACTGAATCTGAAAACCACAGTGTTGACTCCTGGAGAACCAGCTTTGGAACTGGCAAAAGACATTCCTGATGGACAGATTCCAGAAATCTACTACTACAGAAAGTGTCGCAGTATCTTCACTATGAATAAAGTTCTTGATGGCATCCTTGCAAAAGAAAAGCAAAGTGCCAGTGGCTCTGATGAAGAGAAATAAACTAAGAGAACAGCTCGACATGCCCCAAATACGTCAAGGACTTATGACGCAGAGTGCATATTTTGTCAGAAAACCAACAAATATGCCAAGGGAAAGAATACGAGAGAAGTACTGGTACAGTGTCGAGCTGATGCAAAGATCACGAGTGCTGCCACAAATAAAACGGACAGCAGAATCCTTGCTATTGTGAGTAGAAACCTTGTAGCAGCTGAAGGGCACTACCACAGGTCATGCTATAGACTCCACACCAAAGAGGAGGTTTCCAAAGAAGAGGTTGCCAGCAATGAAGATAATGATGCTGCAGCCCAGTACGAAGCTGCTGTGAATCAGTCATACAATGAGCTGTACCTCTTCATCAGGATGGAGCTTTTTGGCACTACTCAAGTGATGACAATGACTGAAACCTTTTTACAAGGATTCATGTCTGCATTAACCACAAAACCTGCGGTCAAAAAAAGGGGAAAAACCCTATTATTATATTTTGGTACTGGCAAAGGAGGTCTAATGATGTAGATGCTCAACCCGGCCCTCGTTACTTTGATAGTGCATTGTCTTTGAGCTGTATGCCCTTTGGCGCCATCTGGTCGAGCACCAATTGGGTCGAGGCTTAAAAGAAAGCCGTCCCTTGGTGTGGACCAATCAGTTTCAAGGACAATGCATATATTAGAATAGTATGTTTTTTGTTTGCATTTTGACTGCAGGTATTGTGGTTAATGCAGACATGAATCCTTGTAAAAAGGTTTCAGTTTTGTTGCCAGAAAAAAGGGGAAAACCCCTATTATAATAATGTAAGCTTCTTCACATATACCCATCACTAACGATATATATGGGCTTACATGTATCATTGACTAAGTATATGCGAATGTCAATGTTTAGAATACTAAAGAAGTTCTTTACCTCACTATGGTATTCCTTATTATCCTGTGTTTTCATTGTGTATTTAAACCAATAAAGACCAGTTTGTGACCTACAGTGAGGGAAAAAAGTATTTGATCCCTTGCTGATTTTGTATGTTTGCCCACTGACAAAGAAATTATCAGTCTATAATTTTAATGCTAGGTTTATTTGAACGGTGAGAGACAGAATAACAACAAAAAAATCCAGAAAAATGCATGTCAAAAATGTTATAAATTGATTTGCATTTTAATTAGGGAAATAAGTATTTGACACCCTCTCAATCAGAAAGATTTCTGGCTCCCAGGTGTCTTTTATACAGGTAACGAGCTGAGATTAGGAGCACACTCTTAAATGGAGTGCTCCTAATCTCAGCTTGTTACCTGTATGAAAGACACCTGTCCACAGAAGCAATCAATCAGATTCCAAACTCTCCACCATGGCCAAGACCAAAGAGCTCTCCAAGGATGTCAGGGACAAGATTGTAGACCTACACAAGGCTGGAATGGGCTACAAGACCATTGCCAAGCAGCTTAGTGAGAGGTAATAACAGTTGGTGCGATTATTCGCAAATGGAAGAAACACAAAAGAACTGTCAATCTCCCTTGGCCTGGGGCTCCATGCAAGATCTCACCTTGTGGAGTTGCAATGATCATGAGAACGGTGAGGAATCAGCCCAGAATTACACGGGAGGATCTTGTTAATGATATCAAGGCAGCTGGGACCATAGTCACCAAGAAAACAATTGGTAACACACTATGCCGTGAAGGACTGAAATCCTGCAGCGCCCACAAGGTCCCCCTGCTCAAGAAAGCACATATACATGCCCGTCAGAAGTTTGCCAATGAACATCTGAATGATTCAGAGGACAACTGGGTGAAAGTGTTGTGGTCAGATGAGACCAAAATGGAGCTCTTTGGCATCAACTCAACTCGCCGTGTTTGGAGGAGGAGGAATGCTGCCTATGACCCCAAGAACACCATTCCCACCGTCAAACATGGAGGTGGAAACATTATGCTTTGGGGATGTTTTCTGCTAAGGGGACAGGACAACTTCACTGCATCAAAGGGACGATGGACGGGGCCATGTACCGTCAAATCTTGGGTGAGAACCTCCTTCCCTCAGCCAGGGAATTGAAAATGTGTCGTGGATGGGTATTCCAGCATGACAATGACCCAAAACACACGGCCAAGACAACAAAGGAGTCGCTCAAGAAGAAGCACATTAAGGTCCTGGAGTGGCCTAGCCAGTCTCCAGACCTTCATCCCATAGAAAATCTGTGGAGGGAGCTGAAGGTTAGAGTTGCCAAATGTCAGCCTCGAAACCTTAATGACTTGGAGAAGATCTGCAAAGAGGAGTGGAACAAAATCCCTCCTGAGATGTGTGCAAACCTGGTGGCCAACTACAAGAAACGTCTGACCTCTGTGATTGTCAACAAGGATTTTGCCACCAAGTACTAAGTCATGTTTTGCAGAGGGGTCAAATACTTATTTCCCTAATTAAAATGCAAATCAATTTATAACATTTTTGACATGCGTTTTTCTGGATTTTTTTGTTGTCATTCTGTCTCTCACTTCAAATAAACCTACCATTAAAATTATAGACTGATAATTTCTTTGTCAGTGGGAAAACGTACAAAATCAGCAGGGGATCAAATACTTTTTTCCCTCACTGTAACTGGCTTTGGTCTAGGTAGTTTTTCAGTAATAATGCCCATTTCATCATTCCGGATGCCTGTCATAGGGTATGGGTATAAAAGTCATGGTAACTACAACTAAGCTGCCACTCCACAAATGTTATATCAGAATATGTCCCACACACATGGAGAATAACAAAAATCATTACTAAACTGTGCCACCTCAAGTGGTACCAATAAGTGATTTTTTTTTTGTTTGGGCCCATGGACTAAGCAGGAGATTATACAACTGTAAAAGCCATTCCCCCCGTGTTTAGTGTACATGCTGTACAACATGTTTGGAATCAACAGGAGTAAAGTTGGACTTACAAACAAATTGACTTATGAACAGACCTCTGGAAATAATAAAAAAATGCAAATAAAACAATAAAATTCTCACGACGTGATTGGTTCATTTGTATTATTTTATTATTTCCCTTCTGTGTTACTTTACCGAAAGAACCAAGAATATGAATCCCTGCAGTCACGAAAGCTTTAAATCGAAACTCTGGAACCTAACTCGTTCGTAAGTAGAGGAGTCCCTTGACTACATTTTACAAACCTTCATCAGGTTCAAACCGCACTGAAATAGCAATGAACGCAGATATGCACCTCCGATTAGCATGGTTAGTTACGTACGGTGCGAAAGAAGTTCAACATACACACACACATACGCACACAATAAGAATCTACGTGGAATGACTCATACAGCTGAAAAGCCTGGCTCGCGTCTTAATAGAAATGTAAAAATGTGGATTTATTTAGTTTGAAAGTTTTTTTTATGCCCAAATTTATACATTTCAATCACATTTTGTGGAGCCATTCTAATGATTGGAGGAAGTCGCTGGTAAGCATAAACGTAAAATTCAAAATCACACTTACTATTTGGATTTGAAAAATCCTCACAGCAATTACTAATTAATTCCCATGCCCATTTAACAGTACATCTATGAATATAATACTATTAATTAAATTCTTGTAGTGGAGCAGTGTCAATGATGAATGCGGTGAGATAGTTTTTGATATGAAAAAGAGGAATTTGCTCATAAAAATAACAATAAGAGTCGCCTGTCCGGAAAATTAAGAATTTTCAGAGGTCCCTGCATGTGCTGAGATTTTCCTTGCCGAGAGCTGTAACATGAGCTACAGTGCAGGGGGACACGGATGCAAGGAAACGTGTGGTTAGATTCAAGGTAGGAGAGCAAATGTATCTTACTTTGGTGTGGAAGCTTCGGCCTGCTCAGTCTGCAGCTTCTCCCCTCCCTCTACCTCCATGGTGCAGTACACGGTGCGGTTGGCTGGGAGCGACCGCAAGCCCAGCACCTCCATCACCACCACCTTGCACAGCAGAGGCACAAACCCGTTCAAGTACAGCTTCGCGAAATCGTGAGACACTGCGCCAGGAGTGAACGGGCCATCACCCATGGTAGCCGGAACAACTCTCGCCATCCCTTCCACAGTAAACGTTTCGGGCCCACTAACGCTGCGGTTTCCCATAGCAATCCGGATACTTCAGTGCAAAGTTGAAGGTACTTTGTCTATAACCAAATTCCACCTTATTTGATTACATTTTGCACCGTGTTTTTATAATAGCATTGAGCTTGCATTTGTTAGTGCAATAGTAACAATCTGCCTTTTTATTAAACCTACTGTGAGTGAACAGCAGAAGCCAAGCATGAGCGGCATTACTTTGTTGTATGGATATACAACCCAACGCCCACATTCCTGTTTGCTCAAAGTGAAAGTGTTTCACGATCAGTAATTCGCGTTGCTGTGCTTTGCTCCAGATTGAAAAACTCTCATCAGCTGTTGACCCAGGTCACCCTTAAAAACGAGACTTTTTCTTATCTCCATTGGCCCTCACCTGGTGAAATTAAGTCTATTGTTCATTATCACCCCTGGGATTAGATCAGAACATTTTAGAATATTTCTTTATACTGGAGGAATCTGATGAGCTACAACGCTCTTTTTCACAGATGTCTAGTACATTGAAGGCAGCATGGAAAAATAAATCGTTCTATGAAACTATGCTCTCACCATCTATGCTTTCCTGCTTCACCAACCAGCGTGGTGAAGTATGGTCAAATATAACCCCATGACCGTACGGCATGGGGAAGCCCTTATGCAGCAGTGGATTGACAAAAGGGCTGTAACATGTACATGTTAATGTATCAGTAATTCAATAAACACTGGGCAATCTCACAAAGATGGTGTACGTATTTACACTGTATGTTGAACTTCTTTCAAACCGTACGTAGCCAACCACGGTAATATTATGTTGTGGCAAAAAGCAGATAGACCAACAATTTTGTTATGCTAAAAAGACAAACATTATAGCTGTGAACAAGTTAAAAATAATAATTCATAGTTTAGTGCATTTGGTATTCGTGCAAATCTTATAGTGTGAGGCTATCATGAACAAAGGTGCTACTGTATGTGGAATATAGTCCGCAATAGTATCACACTAGGGGGCGATGTTGCGATGTGCCATCCCAACTGAGTAAACGGTGGTGCAATTTTTTCAAATTTGAATCATGACACCGGCACACAATGGCCGACTCGTTTTTTAAAAACGTCATGGGATCCTTGACGTCACGGCAAAAACCATGCAAACCGCAAGCGCACTATGGCTGGGCCACGTCACCGCACCAAAGATCTGTCACTTTCTACCGTCAGTGACTTGGTGGTAATTAGCACCCCCCACCCCCGCCACTGATTAGCACAGTTGGCTACATCCGGCACGAAAAAAGTTCAACATGCACACATGTACCTACGTACCTCGAGGGTGAATGACAGCGCAATCTCAGACTTGAGGAGGGCGCTGCGCGAGTCCTCCCCGGGGTCCAGCAGGGATGAGGGGTAGTAGCGCTTGAGCGGCTTCTGCAGACGGCCCGTGTCGCCGTGGCCGCGCGACACGGGCAGGCTCTCCAGGTTGGACACCAGGAGGTTGATGCTGGAGCGCAGCTCGCTCACGTACGTGCTGCTCGAGTCGGCACGGACGAAGGCGGGGAAATCTCTCCGCTGCTTTCGCAAAGGCCACACATGCGGCACGGTGTAGCGGCGTCACAACAGGGTTTCCATACTGACAAGAAGACAATTTGGCGCCAGAAACTGGCACAACCTGAAAAATGTCCACGTCGTCTTACAAGGTCACACAGAGCATCAGTGTCGTACAACCCTGGGTCCAGTTTTTGGTGCAAGAGTCCTTATCGTCCGCGATCTTGTAGGGGACAAGGTCACAAATAATAAATTGTGTTGATAAAAGGGATTTCCATGGATTGGCTTGAATGATGTGTAGGTCATGTTATCAGAACTCAGTGGTACAAATCTATGGTGTGTCCTCGAAATAATGTGAGTGATATATCGCAGTCCACAGTTAGTAACGGTGTTTCTTGGGGAACTGCAATTGCAGGGGAAACTAAGACATTGCACTTCCAATGTTGAAAACTTGAACAGCGTGCAAAGCAACGGTGACTCTTTATCTACTCTGAATTAGCGAGGAATTGCACAAACACAGTATACATTGGATATTTGCAATGCAACAGGATGGCTAAAAACACTGCATCTACATAAACTCCTTGCTTCATGCCTTGCGAGTTGGGGGGGGGGGGGTGAGAAAAGTAGTGCGGCACAAAGTTGCATCCACGTTGAGTGAAGTGAGATGTGGAAGAGTTAGTGAAGCAAAGGGCGGTGACTTGGCAGCCCAGCAGTAACGCGGCCCAGTGGCAGCGTGGTCCAATGGTAGTGTGGCCAGGCGCTTGGCGCGGCCCAGCAGTAATGGCCCAGCAGTGATGCGGCTCAGTACTGGCACAACCCAGCGCTAGCACAGGTGATGTGGCCCAGCACTAGCGCGGCCGAGCGCCGATGCTGGACCGCGCGAGTGTGGCCCAGCGCTCGCATGGCCCAGCTGTAGCATGGCCCAACAGTGACGCGGCCCAGCGGTAGCGTGACCCAGCGGTGACGCGGCCCAGGGGTAGCCCGGCCCCGTGGAAGCACGGCCCAGCGGTGACACGGAGAAGCGGTAGCATGACCCAGCACTGGCGCGGCCCAGCGGTGACGCGGCCCAGCGGTGATGCGGCCCAGTGCTAGCACGGCCCAGCGGTTATGTGGCCCAACGCTAGCGTGGCCCAGTTGTAGCACGGCACAGCGACAGCATGGCCCAGCACTAGCGCATACGCTGCTTGTTGCAGAGGGCTCGTGGTGTAATTGCAGCAGGCCACCCTGGTTATTACTGCAGGTGTATTAACCGCAGACACACTACGCGCTGTCTGCTTCACAGTGGACAATAAGGATATCCCGGTGTCATTCGAAATGAATGGGCCATTGTGTGCTGACGTCACGCTCCAAATTTGATCAAATTTGATAAATGACAATTGGAATTACACACAACAACATCGCCCCTACTGGCGGACACAGCGCCTTCCTTCGTGATTGTCCTCCACTGTAAGAATGGTACGAATACCAAACAGATTGAACAATTAATATTGCTATAAATGAAATACAGCTGTGTAAGGGGCGGCCCGGGGGCAAGTGCCTGGCAGAGCTCCAAGGTATGAGGCGGAAATGTAGAGAGAGTGGCCAATACGCGAGTGACACGTTGGGAGGCGATGGGTGGTGGGCCGCGTGCGTGCCGCCACGCTCGACTGCACAGGACGAGTGGTAAGCGCATCCATTGATCTTGCTGTTTGATGTTCACCTCGATGTTGTTGTGATGCGTAAGCCACAAAGACGCACACGACAAAAATCCCCAGTATAGCCTTAACAGACTAAAGGAGGAAGTGCTGTTAGCAAGCACCTATGAAGGCTGGCACAGCACACGAGGGGGCGGGTGGCCAGCACCAAGCCCGGCCGCCTTTGCCTCCTGAGTGCCGATGTTTACACACCGCATCAGGTACTCATTTGAGGCTGAGTCGACCTAGGGGAGGCCCAGGGCCGGTTCAGAAAATCGTCACTGGTGGTGGCCGTGAGCATAAATCTAACTCAGGTTACCAGGTTCGTAGGGCTGTGCACTAACTGCGACACTACCACTCCCCAAAGATGCACACGCACACACCCCCACCATGACCTTTCACGTGTGGATGCATGCATATGTTTCTTTTAAAGTAAAATAAGGTTTTGTAGCAAAGGGTGTTCCCCATCATCAGCAGCTACCATCAATCCACTGCTGCATGGAGGCCTTGCCAAGCCGCCACCATCTCTCTCACAATGCTTAAATGCTAACAATCCACCCAGCACCTGCACACGAACCGAGTGCATCGCTCGGCACCCCTGCTGGATGTGTTCATGGTCAAGTCCCATTCCTTGGCTGCCACTCCGTCACTGTTCTTGAACCTAGGCAATCACCTGATTCCAATATAAATAAATATTCTAATTTTGATTCTGATCTCTCCCAGCGACGTGTCCCTGCCAAGCCCACTTACTTTTCTTCACAGTTACAATGGTGTCTTTCACCTGCAATACATTCTATTATTCACGCCTCTCGATTTCATTTCAAGCACCAATATCTCTACGCTTCCTTGCACACTTTTTCGTTTTCGTTCCATCCTCTGTTAATGTGTGTGTCCGATAACTTTGTACAAGCTTGAAGGCATGCATGTATTAAAAACATTCTCCGTTAGGGACATTAATACGTTTCTTATGAAGAACTTTAAGTGGAACAAGCTGGACACTTACAAATACCACACCTACAAAGCAAACTAGAAGCAACAGAAACATGATTTTTTATATGTCAAAAATGTCCTGGACCGCCAAACTATTTTTTTTTCATTTTACCAGGAAAGGCCCACTGACCTATGTAGCTCTATTTCAGAAGCGTAATGGCCACAAATTACAGCTCAATGAAGTGGCTTATTTGGAAATGTATAGCAGCCAAATACTCTAAGTGCATGTTTATAAATATGGATGGAAAAATCAGAAGACCCGGAGAAAAATCCACGTGACCACGGGGAGAGAGACAAGCAAACTCTAAAGGATCGAACCCACGACCACCCCCATACCAAGCGAGGTAGTTAACATTTCACCACCATGGTGCCCAAGATGGGTGACCTAAATGTATAAGGAATACCATGTACAAAAATAAAATTAAAATAATTATAGAAATGCAAAGTTATATATTTTGGATATGTAATGAAAAAACAAGACTGAATTTAATGTTTTGACTGGTCCCACAAGAAGGCAGAATAGAAAATTCAGTGCATAAGCAATGTGAACAATTGGCTGCAAGTGGGAATGGCGGCCATAATCGCCCACATCTTTGAGAAAGGATGTGGCACATCGAGATAGAAGCAATGTAAACTGAATTTGTGTTACAACAACACTGGGAGGACATAAAGTGAACACAAAACAGCAGTTAAAATCACCTCCGCGCATTATTATTGTCTAGCAAAGGAGAGGAGTGAATGAGGGCTGATGTTTAACACAGACACACGTGTGTGTGTGCACCAGCGGCGACCACACGCCAGCGGCCTATGGAATGTGGCCAGGTGGACTCGCCCCGGTTGTCCTGTCAACACAGTCCGGTACGAAGAGCGAAATGTCACACCTACCTCCCAGACATTCACGGCACACAGAAGGAGCCTGCTACTATTATCAGTACTTTCCAGAACACGATGAGAATTCTCAAAATATGTGAAACGCAATGAAAACATTTAAATATTGTGCTCCTGATCAATTAAAATGCCTTTCTTATTTGGCAAGCTTGCAAGGTCAACATTTGGCCACTGGCAATTGTGCAACATCAGAGACTTGGACAGGGTTTCATCATCGTAAGCATTCACAAGTATTTAACCTGTGATGTAAGAACCAAAAAATGTCAACACATTTAGAATATTGTATAACTGGCTCGTACCACCACCATCAATCAGTGATAATGCTTCAATAATAACACCGCCTCTTCTTTTCTTTGGAGCAGAAGGGGATGAATAATCGTTGCATTTAAGTGGTAGAACAGTATTCTTAGTTTTTTCGGTAAAGTCACGTTGAAGAGAAACAACAAAATAACAAAATATATATAAAACAATAAAAAATTCTCACGACGTTTCGACCATAACTCAAACGGTCATCATCAGGTGTGTCGGTTTGCATACACACCTGATGATGACCATTTGAGTTATGGTCGAAACGTCGTGAGAATTTTTTATTGTTTTATATATATTTTGTTATTTTGTTGTTTCTCTTCAACGTGACTTTACCGAAAAAACTAAGAATATGAATTACTGCAGTCACGAAAGCTTTAAATCAAAATTTGGTAGAACAGTGTTAATGAAGTTGGTGACAATGCATTTTTAGCTGATGCCTATCCAGATAAACATACGCTCTCAATGTAAAATCGAAATGTTTCCCACAGGTAGCATTGATCATTATACTCTTTGGTTCTATTCGGTAAAGTCACATAGGTAAAAAATAAAATAATAAAAATCGCGACGTTTTGGCCACTACACAAGTGGCCTTCATCAGGTGAAGGGACCGTGCTGTCCTGAGGACAGCGTTGGAGTGAAAACAGCCAAGCCCAGGTCGCATCCTTTAAGCTGTGTGGGAGGAAGCAAAACGCTTGACAAAGCGGCATCTCTTGAGGAAGGTCAGCGTCTCGATGAGCTTTGACTTCTTGTCCCGTTGTCTGTTGAAAGCTGTAACAGATAGGTGAAAGCCCTCCCCGTAGAGGTTATCAATTCTAGATTTGAAGCTTTCGTGACTGCAAGGATCCATACTCTTTGGTTCTATTCGGTAAAGTCATGTAGGTAAAAAATAAAATAACAAAAATCACGACGTTTCGGCCACATTGCTGTCTCCCATTGATTCCGTTCTGGAGACACAGGAGGGCATTTGTGTGAAATAGTTTCTGGATATTGTTGCAGCAGTCTGAATGAAAATGTCACATGTGAAACAGGAAAAATTCCAACTTACAAAGTCATATATTTAGTTATTTATTATTAACTAGTGGGAAGTACCTGGCGTTGCCCAGGGGAAAAAATATATTTGAAAACTTAATGTCAAAATCATAACAGATACTTACACAAATACTA